TCAGTAGGTGGCTTGCCAAGGATAGAAATGATATCAGGGTATATATAGTCAACTCCTTGGCCAAGCTAGGGGTGAGAGCAGGGTGGGGTCAGTGGCTGGGCCAAGCTGAGGGTAAGACCTGGGTGTGGTCAGTGGACAGGCTGGGGATGTGATCAGCAGAGACCAGCTTCCTTCTCAGGCCTCATTTCCCCTTTTCTTGTTCGGGAGGGAGGAGGAAGTTCTGCAACTGGACCAGGGGAACTGGAAGAAGCTCAGAACTGGGGATATGCCAAACTGAAAGAGTAGGGGAGCTCAGAGCATGTCCAGGGTTGAGGGACTCAGCAGATGGTAAAGGATCCCGGGGGAAGTTAATTTGGTGGGAATTTTTGTTTAAAAAACAAACAAACAAACAAACAAAAAAAACAGACGCACGCATGCACGCACGGGGGTGGGGGTGGGGGGGGTAAGGGGGGTAGTCAAGGAGGATGTGAAAAGCAGGAAGTCATAATCTCCCATCCTCCTGCCTAGTCAGGCCCAAGGGAGGGGGATGAGAACTAAGTGACTAAGGAATGAGGGAAAAATGGGGTTGAGCTTTCTGGGCACAAAGTCATTCTCCTCAAATCTGCCTCATTTTTTATTACCTCAGGGCTGACCGACCTACTCCTCACCCCAGAGACAAATTGGTAATACTTTCCCAAATAAAAAGGCAATGAGTCCTTGCCCTTTCCATGCCACCATCTACTTCCCATTCTACCCCCTACACCACCTGGGAAGTACTGAAATCAACGAAGAGTCTTTGGGTGTGGAATGACCTGTGCTGGAATCTGAAACCCTGTTAGTGTGGACGCTAAGCTAGAAACTAGAAGTGAGAGAGTGGAGCAATACTTCTCCACTCAAAGGGGCTTGTGATGTTCTGATATCTACAAAGGAAATTAGGAGGAATGGTCTACATTAGGGGGACTAGCTCAGCTCATGACTCAGGCACTGCTGTAGCCATAAATCTTAAGCTCAATCACCCCATGATCCTTCAAACTGACCTTGATCCCAACTTTATGTAAATTCTAAGCTTGAGTTGGGAATTTAATTCCTGAACTTCAATACTGATCCTGATCTGATCACTGACTCACTCCTACCCTGACCCTTAATCCTAAAATGGACCTTTGACACTTAATTCTACCATAGTACAAATAGCCAACCCTATTTCTGGTTCTTAACCATTTAAATCTAATGCTAACCTATGACTAACCAAAACATTCAATCCAATTTCTGAACGCTAATGCTGACTCTGAAAAAAAAAATCACTGAGCTTTAATTCTTATTACTTGAACATTAATGACTTCAAATAATGCCCCTAGGTGGAAAATCATTATTTAGTAGATATCATTCCTAATGGTCTACCATTGATTCCTGAACCAATCACCGACCACTAACATTGATCCTTATGCCTTACCACATCCCTGCATCCTAACAATGATCCCAGTATTTGGATGCCTGACCAAATATAAACTCCTGTATTTGGCATTTAAAGTTTTTACCTTTTCAGTCTTTAGACTTTTACTCTCCTCTGTGAATTCTACCACCCAGCTAGCCTGGCCTCCTTGCTGTTCCTTTAACACAACACCCTATCTCCTGTTTCCTTGCCTTTTCACTGGCAGTTCTCCATGCCTGGAATGCTCTGTCTGCTTACCTCCAACTCTTAAGTTTCCTTTTTTTTCCTTCAAAACTCAGCTCAAAACCCACTTTCTGGGGAAGGCCTTTCTAGATTTCCTCAGCTACTAGTGCTCTCCCCTCTCAGATGTCCTTCTACTGACTCCAGGTACCTTCTTTATGTACTTATTTACATGTAGCTTCCTTAGAATGTAAGCTCCTTGAGGGTAGGAACTGGATTTTCTTTTTGCATTTCTTTGTATTTTCACTGCTTAGCACAATGCCTGGTACACAGCAAGCACTTAATGAATGCTTGTTGACTTGTTGGCTGAATGACCTCTAACAAACTCCAATGCTATTCCTAGCCACTGAAGCCTAATCTGATTCTTGGAAGATAAACCCATCTTTAATGCTGACCCCCCAACTCAAATGCAACCCCTGACTCTTACTTTGATTCCCAACTGGCCCTTTCCAAGCCTAAACCTATGATCCTACAATCTCTAACACTGACCAACAAACTGACTTTTTATCCAATCTGTGTACCCTGATGCTATCCCTAATATTAATCCCTAACTTGTCCTCTGTATTCTTACGGTGATCTAAAAAATAAAAATCCTAAGTGTAAAGCCTGCCTATTTGTCATAATCCTAAATCTTATCCTGGCTTCCTTGATTTCCTTCAAGTCTCAGCTAAAATCTCACCTGCAAGAAGCAGCCTTTCCCTCTTAATGCTAAGTGACTTTCCTCTGAGATTATCTTCCATCTATCTACTCTGTGCATTATTTTGTACCTACATAGATGTTTGCTTGCTGTCTCCCCTATTATACTGTGAGCACTTTTTGGGCAGGGACCTTTCTTTGTGTCCCCAGTGCTTATCACAATGCCTGGCAAATAATTAGTGTTTAAATACTTGTTGATCAATAATCACAATAATAAATAATAGCTAGTATGTATATAGCACTTTACAAATATCTCATTTTATCCTTATGACAAGTCTGAGAGGTAGGTGCTAACATCAATTTAGTTCTCATAAAGATAAATTGGCTTCAAATTCCAACTCTAATTAACTCTGACTTTCCCCAAAACCTGAGGCACACCTGATCCTAAAATCCCTGAATCTACCCAGCAAATGTCATGCCCACACACACCATCCTGACTCCACAGCCTAGACCCTTCCATTCCTGTCCACCTAACACCATTCCATCCAGACATCACATTTCTACTAATCTGACCCTACAGCCAAGTCCCACCCATCCCTGCCCACCTAACCCTATCCTAACTACACAGCCTAATCCCATCCATCATCTCTGCCTACCTAAACTCATAGCCTAGTCCCACCCCATTCATGTCCCCTGTAGTCCCACCTATCCCTGTCCCTTATCCTAGTCTCACTCACCCTTGCCCATCTAACCCCACTCAACCTTGTCCATCTAACTCCAGAGCCTAGTCTCACCCATCCCTGCCCCTTTAATCCCATAGTGTAGTCCCACACATCCCTACCCCCTAACCTTATAGTCTTGTCAGTCAGGCTTGCCCCACTTACCCCACAGCCTAGACCCACTCTTCTTTGCGTTCTTAACCCCTGACCAGCGGCCCCCTTGCCTCGGTCGCCCCCCAGAAACCTGGGCACCACACTCCACCCACCAAGCAGCTGGGCAAGCAGGATGGACACACCCGGACACTGACCTCTCAGACCACGGAGGGAGCCATCGGCAGCGCCCATGCACCCACCCTGACTCCCCTCGCTGCAGCCAGCTCCAGCCCCCGGCCGCTGCGCTCTCTGCTTGCCCCCCCCCCCCGCCTTTCCTCCACATCCCTGCTTCACCCCCCCCCTCGCCGCGGGCCTGGCCCCCTCCCCCGGATCCAGTCCCCTCCCCTCCCCCCGTCCGGCCCTGCCCCTTCCCGCCGCCGTCCCGTCCTTCCTGGTCCCGCCCCGCGCTCTGCACCGCCTCAGCCCTACCTGGGCAGCCTGGGGACCTCCCGCTCGCCGGCCCGCCCTCCAGGTCACTCACTTCGTTCGCTCTCCGGGTTCCCGGGTCCGGGGTCCGGCCTCGCCCTCCCGCCGACTGACGAGCTCTCCGCCACTTCCGTCCCCGGAGCACGTCCCCCCCACCCGTGGGCGGTGCCCTGGGCCCGCCCCTCTACGGCCCTGGCTGCTGCAGGAAGCTGCTCTGGCCCCCGCTCTCTATGCCTGGGAGCCGGCCGGGAGACCCGGCAACTTCCCCTGCGGCGGGAGGGTAGCGCTGGCTGCGCATGCGCGGAGCGTAGGCCCGCGGCTCCGTTACTGCGCGCAGCCTAGCGGAGCCGAGGCTCACTCAGCATCATCTTAAAAAGCCAGGCTGGTTTAGCGGTGGGGGTGGGGCCCAGGAGCCCCGCCCTAGTGAAAGAGGAAATTCACCAAGCCCGCTGCTCCGCTGTTTCTGTGGCGTTTCTACAGTGTTTTGGACTGACTTCCTAGCCTTGGGAAGGTGCTCCGCCTCTCGTCCCCTCCATACCCACCACGACCCTCGGAGAGGCCAGAACTCGGAGTCTGGGAGACAAAAGCGGACCCACCTGCTTTCCTGAGACTTCCACGTCTGACCAATCCTCTCTCCCTGCGCTCCTCCCGCCTGCCCTCCCAGGGCGGCTGAGTTTATATAGCCCAGTTCTGTCTGCATTGCATGTGTCATGTGTGAGTCGTGTCTCCCCACTAGACTCAGGAGTTCCCCCTTCCGCCCTCTTCCCGAGGGCAGGGTCCCTTCCCTGCCTGTGGTAGAGGAGATGTTCCAGGATGCTTGGTCTAGGGTTGTCGCTCACTCCATTCGAATGGACTCCTGAAAGTTGGAGACACACACGGACAGAGGGATACAAATAGGAAGTCACAGATAGTGTGTGTGTGTGTAAGACAGGCTCTTAACTTTCTGCAAAGAGCATACGTGAGTGGTAATAAGTAAAATGAATGTGTTGTCACGGACACCATACGTAAATAACGTAAAAGAAAACAACTCTGAAAAGCAGATGAACTCCGATTAAACGTAACGACCAGTCTCGGCCTTAAGAGAACGAACGACGGAACACTTTCTCTTGGTAGACAGGTGTGAGACTGCGAGTGTCCCTATGTTGGGGTTGTGTCTCCCCCCCGCCCCGTGTTCAATTGGGGAGGGAGGCTATCAGGAAATTAAAGGCATCAATAAAGCCTAAAAGAACAAAAGAAAATGCATTGGGTGTGCGTAGAGGGGGTTACCAATCAATTTAAGGAGCGGAAAGCCTGGCAAAGGTTACAAGGCTTGGCCATACTTGACAGCAATCTGGATGCCCAGCCATATCCGGGCAGGGGTGGGGAACTACATTTCCCAGCATGCCGTGGTGCAGTAGCTGACGTCATTCTTGTGGTGTTGGAAGGCGGGATTTGGGTCGGGTTTCCGAGAGGTAGCCCTGGCTGGAGGGAGACGGCCCTGGTGGGACTGGAGCCCTAAATTTGGCCAGTCCGCGTAGATGTGGAAGGTAGCAGATGAGGAGTGGGCTTGGAAACTTGGCAGGGGTTGGTGTGGGGGCCGAGGTGGCGGAGAAGTGACAATTAAGGCAGTCGAGGGTAGGTAGGCTGGAGGGCGTGCCTGTGCTCTCGGCTTTGAGGGGCGGGGGCTCGGGTTGGGCTGGCCCTGGCCTTCTGCTACCAAGGTCTCCCCTCTGGCGCTCTAAAATGGGGTTGAGAGATAGTAGATTGAGCTCCTACCAGGCAAGGGCTGTCTTTTGCTTTTCTTTTTATTCCCCGTGCTCGGCCCAGTGCCTCGCACATAGGGCCTAATATGAATGTTTATTGACTCACACAGCCCGTTGCCCCTCTTCTCCCTTTCACCTCCAAGAGGATCAGGATGGGGGTGGTCATTCCTTCCTCTTCTAGATGTCCACCATGGAGGCTGTCCTGGACCCAGGTGACAAAGACCTGCTGGATTTCCTGAAGGAGGAAGGGGGAGATTTGTGGGGAATACCAGAGGAGGGGCAAGAGGTCCAGCAGGATGATGGGATGCTGCCTCCTGAGGTGAGTAGGGGCTGGGCCAGGCTTAGTCTTAGTGGCTGGGGTGGTGGTAGTTCTATAAACTGAGGGGAGAGAATCTGAGGGAGAGTTGTGACTGGGAACTGGGAAAAAAGGAGCAAGCCCTGGTTCTGAACTAAGTGGCTGGTATTATAGGTGCTGAATGGGTGGGAAGCAGAAGAATTCCTGATATCTCTGCTGGGACCCCCCACCTCACCATCCCTCCCAAGTCCCTCTAGTTACAGCTTCATTCACACTGATCACACCTACTCCATGAGCTGGAATGTACAGGCTTCCTCCCAAGATGACGCCTACATTGACCTGGGTAAGTTTAGGGCCAGGGGACACAGGGGTAAGCTGGGAAAGGGTAGACAGGCAGGTAGGGACTGGGAAGGCAGTAAGAGGATTCTGAGGGACATGGAAAAGGGGATGAAGGAGCCCAAGGTTCTTGATTCAGATTATCTTCCTCCTGCAGATGATAGGGGTCTCAGAGATGTGGCTCAAGAATCAAAGGTCTCCTTGCAGATGGAAGAAATGACACTTAAGGTATCTGGAGGAGGGGCAGACATTAATGGGTAGTGGAAGATGATCATCTCTAATAATTGCAGGATACTTTATCATCCCCACACTTCTCTCTCCTCAAACTAGATGTCCTCTTCCCACTTTACATATCTCCTGCTCTGTCCCTCTCACATGTCCTTTTCCTGTTTTCTTTAGCATGAGTTTCCTCAGTTGATGTTGACAGATGAGGAGAAAAGGCTGCTAGAGAAAGAAGGGTTGACCCTTCCTGAGACTCTCCCTCTTACTAAGGTGAGACTCCTTCATGGCAAAGGGGGCATGGTTATCAAGCTTGATACCATATTTGATGGTGGATATAAAAGACATGCTTTTCAAATTTATGGGCAATATACCTAATATTCTGGATGTCAGAATCACCTCAACAAACAGAAACAATGTGCCCAAGCTAGTATGATTAAACTTGGAAATGGTAAGTGTAAATAAGTTCAAGAGAACTGCACAAATATAGGGAAGGGGGCAATGTTACATAATAATTGGTGTGAAAAAGATTTGGTGGTTTTAGCTGATTGCAAACTCAATATGAAGCAGCACTGTGATGTGGTTTCCAAAAAAATCTAAGACATTCTGGGCAGCATTAATGGAAGTATAGTATTCCCCAAAAGAGAGCACAGTAAACACTTTATAAATGCTTGTTGATGAGTAGGCCTACTGTTAAACTGAATCTAAAAGTGATGATTGGGATGTATGAATGAATGAATGAATAATTAAAGAAGTGCCGGAGATACAAATAGAAAACAGCCTCTGCTCTCAAGGAATTCACCTTTTTAATAGAGGAAACACACATGGAAGGTTTCAGCTGCTAGTCAGATGGAAAAATCCCATGGTTAGTATGAGTCATTATGGATTCATTAAGAATATCATGCCAGACTAGACTCATTTCCTTTGATGGGTAGATCAGTAATGATTTGGACACATTATATAGATTTCAGCAAAGCATTTAGTAGTCTTTTAGATAAGGTAGGGAGATAGGAGTAGACATGATAGTACAGATAGGTGAATTTGGAATGAACTCAACATGGAGGGAAATCTCTAGTGGTGATGCTCTCTCTTTGGCCCTGTTTTATTCAATATTGTGAAGGCACAGATGACATATTGACAAAATTTTCAGTTGATGAAGGGAGGGGTAGCTAATATTGTTAGCAGGGGTCCAGTTTCTAGATCAATAACCTAAATAGTTTCAGCAGGCTAGAACAATAAGCCTAGTTTAAGATGATGAAACTTAATAGAAATAAATGTAGTCTTATACTTGGGTTAAAAAAAATCAACCTCATGAGTTTAGGATGGGAGAGACATAAAATAGTAATTTATGTGAAAAGGACCTGGGGTGTTTTAGCAAGCTCAATGGAAGTCAAAAGTGTGACATGTCAGGAAAAAAAAAAAGCTAGTGATCCAAAGTTGTGTTATCAGTCCCAACATCTTGCTTTGGTCAGGGCATATTTGAAAGATATTGTCTTCAGATCTAAGAACCATAGTTTGGGAAGGACATTGAGAAGCTGGTGTATATACAGATGAGTAACAGCTTGTCTTCACATATTTGGATGATTATGAGTTGGAAGGATTCCTTTTGCTCTTGGTCCCAGGCAATAGAATTAAACCAACAGATGACATTTATCAGATTCTGATTTAAGTTAAGAACTTTATAATGGTATATTGTCCAAAAGCTGCCTTGAGAGTCAGTATGTCCGCTGTGACCAGAAGCCTTCAAAGGTTGGATAATTCATTTGTTAGGAGTGTGGCAGATAAAATCTGTGCTTCAGGTAGGGGCTTAACTAGATGATGTAAACCCTTCCTACTCTAGGCTCTATGGAATATTATGTTCAGTTCTGGACATCATACTTTAAAGACATGAATAAATGAATACAATCAAAATGGTGAATGACATGGAAACGTCATATGAGAACATTTAAAGGGGTTTAGTCTAGAAATGAGAAAGATTTGATTATTGTAAGATATCTGAAGATATCTCACATAGAACAATTATTCTATATAGCCCCAAAGCCAGAACTGAGACCAATGGGCAGAAATTAAAGGGAGGCGGAGTTTTTTACATTGTTAGATTCTTGACTCAATAACAACTGATAGTCCTGAGGTAGAGGTTTGGTTTTTTTTTTAGACACTGACAGAGTGTTAGAGCAGAGGCTTAGATGACTATTAGGGACATTTAGAAGGGATTCCTACACTGCTTGAGTTGAACTAGGTCTTAATGTAAATTACTTTTCAAGTCCAAAATTTTATCAGTGATGGCTTCCCTTCTCCTTTGTCCACTCTCCAACGTAGGCAGAGGAGCGAGCCTTGAAACAAGTTCGGAGGAAGATTCGCAACAAACAGTCAGCTCAAGAAAGTAGAAGGAAGAAGAAAGTATATGTGGGAGGACTAGAAAGTAGGTACGTCAGGGGTTGGGGAAAGGAGATAGGAGACTGCTGCAGGAACAGGGTGATGGGGAGGGGCTATCACATTAAAAGGAGATGACTGGGGACATGCTATTCCCATGGTTGTTCCAGGGTCTTGGCTTGCACAGCCCAGAACCTGGAGTTACAGAAGAAAGTCCAATTCTTGGAGAAGCAGAATTTGTAAGTAACCACAGAACAATTGGTACCTCAGTTGCCCTATCCTCTTGTGCCACTGCTTCAGTGTCATCCTCACATTTTTCTTGTGGGGATGTATGGAAATCCCATCTTCTCTCTTCTTTCAGGTCCCTTTTGGATCAGCTAAAGAAGTTCCAGGCTTTAGTGGCTGAGATGACAACCAAACCCACTAGCAAAAGCACCTGCATTGTGGTAAGGGACAAAGCACTCTGACCCTACTTCCCCCACCTTTTGATACCAGCCCTAAGTGTGGGTGGGATGGGATAGGAGCCAACATTAAGGACTCCTCCTTATCTTCAAATCTTCTCTGAATCCCTAGGTCCTGCTCTTTTCCTTCTGCCTCTTCCTCTTTCCTGCCATGTATCCCTCTGAGATCTGGGGCCGCCAACCAGCACCAACCAGTAAGTGGGGCCAAGGAAGGTCGCGGGGGTCCTGGCTATATGATCTGGTTGTCTGGATTAAGGTTTATTGGCTGTCCCTTGCACTCATTACTCTTTGTGGCTGTCTTCCCACAGTGCTGTCCCGTCAGATCCGGTCCCTTCCCAGTGATAATCACTCTCTTCTTCTGGAGTCTCCTGCTTGGCTGACAGAGGAGAAATCGGAGGTCACCTTAAATCCATCAGCAGATGTAACCTCTCTAGCCCGAGACAATTCTTCCTCTGATCCTCTTGCTAGAACAAGTGATGAACAGATTCTGAAGTCAACAGACCCAACACATTCTACTGTTCTGTCTTCAGAGGCCACAGAGAAGCAGGGCTGGGCCCCTACTACACCCACTATCATTCTTCGAGGACGGCACTCCAATGAGATGTGATATAGGGGCAGGAGTTAAGATGCCAGACAGACTGAGTTGGGGGTAGAAAATGCCCAGAGTATCAGGGAAACACGGAACTGACAAAGGTTGAATGACTTGGTAATACTATACCTTGGGGGTCCCAGGTTGTAGATAGGAATAAAGATGATGTATCTGAGGCTGGCCCTCCCAGACCTGAGAATTCATATTACACTCTTACTGGTTTCTTGGATCTTTTATTTGTGTGGCTGTGTCCACCCCTCCAACCCAGTTTTGGGTGAGGAGGTCTGGCTCAGGGCATAGGGGTAGGGAGGAAAATAGCTCGACCTTTGTTAGCATTCCATGCAGCAAATAATTGGGGAGTGGAGGGAGGGAAAATAAATAAGTGATTGCGGTGCTTGTGTCTCCCACCCCCATGGCTCTGCTGGGGGAAGTGGGTGGTAGGTGATTGTCCTGATGGCTCAGGGCTGCAGATGGGAAGAGGAAGGTGCACAATAGTATCTCCAGCTTCCCCGTCTAAATAGTATCTAGGAGTCCCTGCTGTCCCAGGTCTGCTCTGGCTTTTGACTTGGTATGAAGTCCCACAGCCGGTGCAGATTTCTGTCCAGCAGTCACTCCCATGCTCTCTCCAGTCAGTCCCATGCCCTGCCCAGGGGCTGTGCCATGCTGCTGTAATGCCAGCTGCATGGCCCAGATGCTGAGTGGTCGCATATAGGCAAGGGAACGGAATACTCGACGCTGGCAATATGCCTCAGGTGTCTGGAATGCCATCCCCAATCGTTCCCACACTGTGCGGTAGCAGCCTTCGGCCGTAAGGAAACCCTCTTCAATCAGGCCCTATTGGGAGAAATAAGTACAAAGTAAGAATTAAGGAAGGGAATGAAGCCTCTGCTTTATCAAAGATGACTTAGGAAGAAAAGAGGGAAATTGATTACCTCTTGGATCATGGTAGCAGCTAGCCCGTAGACCACACCTACCCAGACCTCATCGGACTGAACACTGGATGTGTCAGGGACTCCATCTGCCTGCATACCGTTCACAGCCCCCATGGCTCCGCCTGCAAAGCCCTGGACATTCACTTCAAAGATTGTCTGGAGAGCTCGAATCACATGGGGGGTAGGGAATACCTGCCCAGAGAGAGATGGAGTCACTTCCTCCAACCAAATAAAAAAAAGACACAAGTTCCTTCTTTCTCCCCATACCCTGACCCATGTCCCGGATCACTTTCATATCTTTCCCTCTTACCTCGGTATCCCCCTTTCCCAGTCCACATGCTCTCAGGAACCACTGACCAGCACACTGGTCAGACATGATAATACGGGATTGTGGCTGGGAGCTGCTATCATAATTATAGTAACGGCCTATTTGGGTAGAGAAGGAAGGCATGGTAAAGTTTCTGATTTACTAATTTCCTACCCCCTTAACCTAACATACCCACATTCATTCCAGAGCCAATCTCCCCTAGCACATGCTGCCCCTCCCCTGAAGTCTGCCTCACCATTCCAGAGAAGCCTCTCGTAAGCCTCCCGACCTCGGCTCAGGATGGACAAGAACTTCTCCTGGACATCTTGAGTTCCACACATGGCAGCCATTTGGACCATCGCAGCCACAGCTGCCAGCCACAGGCCTCCACAGTAGGCACTGGCCAGGAATATAGGGTCAGGGTGATACCATCTCCATCCCATCATCATATACTCAGGGCATGGGGTCAGAGATCAGAATAACACCCCTCTCTACTATTCCTGACCAGGAATGTGGGTTTGGAGGCCAGAATAATACCCCACCCACACAGGGATTAATTCTTCATTTCTAGGTATACCTGGGTCCCGTGGTGATCCATCCATCGTAAGTCTGGTCTGCATAGCCCCCATTCTCAATTAGGCCATCTTGATCTGTGTCAAACTTCATCTCAGATTCCATTACAGCCTGTAGTGGAGTACTCTAGGGGTTCACAACAAGCCCCACCTTTTCTCCTCCAACCCCCAATGTCAAGGTGCATGGAATTGTATTACATGCCTGTACTTCTCCTAGTCCACAAGCCATGCCCAAGCCTGATATGGCACATGGAACCTTACCTGGCACACAGGCCACATGTCCCTCAGGAAGCTCTCGTTGCCTGTCAGGTAAAAGTCCCGATAAATCTGCAGCACAAACTTCAGGTTCAGATCCTTCCAATCAGCTGTGTCATGAATTAGGTAAGCATTGATACGAAGCCATGGCTCATCATCTGGTGTTAGGAAATGGGACACGTGCAATTAATCAACTAATCAGCATTTACAAAATGCCTACTATGTACATGGCACTGGAGATTCAAAGACAAAAATGTAAGAGTCTGCTCTCACAGGGCTTTTATTCTACTGTAAGAGATAGGTGCATATATAAAGATATAGAGAATTACAAGGTTATTTAGGGAGGGAAGATGAGCAATTGGGGAATCCAGAAAGGCTTCATGCAGGAGGTGGTATCTGAGCTGAATCCTGAAGGAAGAATGAGGCAGAAGTGGGGGATGCATTTTTATTTCTGGCAGTGGGATGGCAAGTGCCTGGAGTTGGGAGAGAGAATGTTGTGTGGGAGGAACCCTAGCAAAGTCAGTTTGGCTAGAAGGTAGATGGTGGTATAATGAGGCTAGGAAGATAGGTTTGGGCCAGTTTTGAAGGGCTTTAAAAGTCAAACAGGAGTTTATATTTGATCCTGGAGGAAAAAGGGAGCCAATGGAGTTTACTATACAGGGGAATGATGAGGTCAGATCTGACCTGTGTTTAAGGAAAATCACTCTGGTAGCTGAAAAGAGGATGGATTGGAGTGGGGAGCGACTTCAGGTAGGGCAATCAACCTGAAGATCTGTAACAGTCCAGGTGAAAAGTGCTAAGGGCCGGAAATAGGATGATAACTGTGTAAGTATTAAGAAGGAGATGAATAAGAGATGTGGAGGTGGCAATGGCAAGATTTGGGGTGAGGAAGAGTGATGAATTGAGGGCAAAACCAAAATCAAACACCTTGGAAGACTAGAGGAATGATGATGCCCTTGACAGAAATCAGGAAATTTGGAAGCAGGGTGAGTTTTAACTGAAAGATGCTGAATTCTCATTTGGATGTGCTGATTTTGAGCTGTTTATGGGAAATCAGTTTGATGAGCCCAACAGGTAACTGATGATGTGGGCCTGGAGCTCAAGAGAGAGATGAAGGCTGGACAAATAGTTATGGGATTCATCTACATATGGATGATAATTAAACCCATAGAGTTTGTAAGGAGCTGATAAGGTCAAGTGAGAGTAAAAAGAAATTGGAAGGGGGAGGGGTTTCCATATTAGGACTGGAAATCCAAATACCTGGGTCCCCTATGTCATGGGGAATCACATTTTTCTTCTTCACAGGAGCCGTTACGCCACTCATTAGATATTTCCGCCGTGTCAAGTCTTCACTCAGAGTTGCTACAGCTAATGGAAAACAGACCAATGGTTGTTAAGGACCTTAGAGATATGTGAAGGGAGACTGTGGACATTTGAGGTATAGGATAGGACCCTGAGGTGGGGTAGAAGGGAGTCGGGGGTGAGGTGTGTTAATAAAGATTTTTTTAAGCGGGAGTCATGGCTGGGGAACTCTTACCTATGTCATACTGGAGGCTGAGCTCGAGTTTGGGCCACAACATGATGAGGGCAAAGGAGGCATAGAAGTGGACATCATATGTGTTGTACATGTGGTACTCCTGTCCTGGGAGGAAGAGTCTCTGAATGTCCCTGGGTGACCACACCTCCAAACACTCCTGATACTACTCTGAACCCTCAGCCCCTACCAAACATTGCCCCCTTATGCTAAGATTCCCATGTTTCCTCCATTTTCCCCCCATGTGTTCTCCCATACCCTCAAGGTAGGCAAAGCGCCCATATTCCTGCAGGGTAGGTCGAAGCTGGTTCATCATCCCATTGAACTCCTGTATGGCTGTGTCTTCTGTAACCTCCAGCCACATGGTACCCCCATCAGCCAGGAAGTATAATTCATTGAAAAGTGCAGACTTATACCAGGCGGGCAGGGACCTAGGGGGCAGAGGTAGGGGAGAAATATTTATATAATTTCCACTGAATACATTAAAAAAACTTTTTTCTAAAAATGAAAATATGTTTAAAACAGTGAAAAATTTACCCTTAAAGAAGACTAGAGGAATGGGTATTCTAGTCATACCTATGGGAAATGGGTGGAGCTGTCTGAGGAAAGAGATGGGGACCTAGAGATTAGTACAGAACCAACATCATGGTAGCCAAATTTCACTGAAGACAAGCCTTAATAATTCGCTAAATAACATGATACAATTGACCAACGAGGACAGAAGAATAATGCAGCCATTAAGACCCAATGTATGGTTAAACCAGTTAGTTGGTAGCCCAGATAAGAGAAAGAAGAGATTTCCTGATGTTAGGATCTTTGCATCTCTCATTTTAAAAGCACTTTCATACTCTCGGGGCCAGATAATCAGTGAGAACCTGTGTACCACCCTGCTCCCAGCACCTCACCCCACCCTCCCCCTGTGATGTAACTATATAGCAATATAGCTTTGGAACTGGAAGAGAAGGAGAAGAAAACATAGGTCTCAGGACAGGGCAATAGGCAGCTAAGATCTGGGACAGGGATTCTTCTTCTTTTTTTTTTGTGAGGCAATTGGGGTTAAGTGACTTGCCTAGGGTCACACAGCTAGTAAGTGGCAAGTGTCTGAGGCCAGATTTGAACTCAGGTCCTCCTGACTCCAAGGCCAGAGCTCTAACCACTGCACCACCTAGCTACCCCTAGGACAGGGATTCTTAACCTTTTCAGTATTTCAAGCAACTTTGGTAGTTTGGTATAAATAAAAATGTATAAAATGCATATGATTACAAAAGAAACCAATTATACAGACACATAGTAATTAAAATATTGCAAAAACAAGTCCCTGGATCCCAGGTTAACCCCATGCCCTACCCTAGAGGGTATGGAGAAGCAACAGAGAAGAGAATCCAGTGCAGCAGTGGGGGCCCCAAAGCAGCACTTCCATGAACCAGACCTCAAGGACTCCAGGGAGGAGGACAGAAAAACAGCCACATGAGTGGACAGAGAAGGCCTCATCCTCTCTAAGCCAGAATAAATCCCAAGAGTGGAGAGAGAAGGCCTCATCACCTCTAAGCCAGAGTAAATGAATACAAGGTAGGGCTCAACCCACAATTAGTGGGAACCTAAAGACAACTTTCCTGTGAGGTTATGACCATAATGAAATTCATTTTGAATCTTCCCTGTCTATGCCCTGGAGTGAGCATCCTGAAAAGTAGATGGTCTGGGGGATCCCACAGGCTGAGGGGCAAGAAGACCCAGAGTTGTTCTGTCTGTGAGCAGCGGAGGGCATGACCACACCATCCCAAAGAACCTGCAGGCTGAGCCCACTAAGGTGGGGAAAGGGTCTTAGACTGGAAAGACTGGCCATGACCTGGAGGCCATCTCCCTATACCTGTCCTCCAGCACAGGGTTCTGCCATGCTGCAATTCTTTCCTCCCATGATCTATACTGAGTGAGTGCATAATGACAGAGGGCTGGAGCTGCATTTCCTTCTTGGCCAAAGAACCGAGTGTATCTCCTGAAAAAGGGATAGAAGATGATGATGAAAGAAGCTTTGAGCCACATAAAGCAACTTCTAAACATTTTGTCCAGCCTCCCTGCATCTCCCCTAAAACTCTGAGTCTCATTATCACAACCAGACACACTACCTTCCCCATCCCACTGGTCCTGCACCCACCCACCCACTTCCTTTCCTTTACCTGTAGTGGGCTTGGCCCCTAGCTCCAAACAGAATCTTGGGCATGTCCCAGGCCAATGCAAATTCCAGCTGGCATCTGCCTCTCCGGGGCAAATGGGCCCCTGCACACACAGCTCCACCTATGCCCTGTCCCTTTTGGGTTGGGGGGCTGGGGCCTAGGGATGACATGGGAGTGGTCAGCAAAGAAAAGCCCCCAGCCTTGGGGACCTGGTCTTCTTACTCAGCCCAAGACTATCTAGGAACCTCTTAGTGGAGAGTTGGGGGCACTCTAGGAGATGGACATGGAAATAAAGTAGGTTCTTGGGCCCTCCCCAGCTAGACCCTCCCAACCCCCATGAATATATCTAGTTACCCTCAGTTGTAACCCTCTTACCAGGGTGGGAAGCAATCATTATTAGATTCTTCACCTATCAGACTATCAAAGCTGGGGACAAGTTTAACCATTCTCTAATCCAGTTAGAACCCCTCACCCTTCTCACTCACCCTCCCCTCCACCTCACCAGATGGGGAGTCCAACTGTCCATCCAGGAGCAAGTCCCTCCACACTTTCTGTCCAGTGCCATCAGGGTCAAAGGCTGTGATATGAGTCACTGTGGTGTTTGCCTATCAGGATGTTGTTCTTAGTAAAGGTGGCTAGCACCAAGTCTAAACCTCCCCCTTGCAGACCAGGCTACAGCTACCCACTTCCAGCTCTGAGTCTTTTAAGTTGGACGAGTGAGAATTTAGGGGTTACAGTGAAGACCATGGTGAGGACCCTGCCCTGAGCCTGTGCTATTCCAACTGGTGAGTTAGCCAACACAAATGCACGTGGCCTCCTCTATCTGGCCAGGCCCAAACCCTGGATGATGTTTTACGTCCCATCCAACCACCCACCTCAGCCATCTCCTTGACAGTTTTCTGTCTCTTGCTCTGGGAAGAGGAATCAGATCAATACCACTATTGCTTCTGGAAGGATCATACTATCGACAGATTCCTTTATAGCCCCACTCACCATCCCTGATAATTTCTTTGGCCACCACTCCCTTATACGTGTCTCCCTACAAGAATCTAAATTCCTTGAAGGCAAGAACTGTCATGTTTTATTTTTGTATCTCCAACACTTAGCGCAGTGCTTGGTACATATGTAACAAGTGCTTAATAAGTACTTGTCATCCATCCAATCATTCAAAGCCCATGCCTTGGGGGACAGCTAGGTGGTACAGTGGATAGAGCACTGGCCCTGAAGTTAGGAAGAGCTGAGTTCAAATCTGGCCTCAGAACAAACACTTGACACTTACTAGCTGTGTGACCCTGGGCAAGTCACTTAACCCAACTGCCTTAAAAACAAACAAACAAACAAAGCCCACACCGTGTCTACTTGACACTTACCGTGAGTCGGGCAGCCACAGCCATTGTGTATGGGTTTGGGGGGTTTGGATGGTGTAGCAACAGTCCCTGAACAGTTTCCCCATCATGCTCTAAGCAGAAGGGCTCATTCCATAGCCCTCCTGGGCCATCATGTCCACCTCCCAGGCCATTCCTCATGGAGAACATGATAGATACTTCCAAATCATCATCACCAGTGTTTTCCACATCCCACACGAATACCCCCACAGGTAGGCTGCTGTCCTGGGTGGGAGACGGGAGAGGACAATGAGAAAGTAGACTCGAGTTGTTTACCTCAACACATGCCCTTCTATGTTCTAAACCTTTTTCCTTCATCAAAGATATGGGAATAAAAGGGTGATTCAAGCCTAGAGAGCTACATTGACAGATAAAGGGAGCATTTATGGGAATGAGTGTTACCTGATTATCATCAGCCCGAGGTAAGGGATTAGTCTTACCTGGTAGTCATGGGGGAGGATGGGTGTGATCTGGCGACAGGTCAGCGTGACTTGCTGCCCAGGCAGCTGGTAGACGGTCCAGGCTCGGGGGTAGAGTGCATGATAAAAAGCAAAGAATCCACACAGGCCCCAATTCCAGCTGCGCAAGACACTGGGACGCTCTAGGGACAGGACTTGCTGGTACACAGTCTGTCCTTCCCGCCGCAGGCATACAGTAAACTAAAAAAGGAAGATGGAATTTGCTTAGCCTGTCAACACCTTGAATTCAACATCTCTTAAATCTAACTTATTTTAGAGACGAGGAAATAGGAGCCCAGGGATCTCAAGTGATTGCTTAAGGTCACACAGCTATTAAGTATTCAACCTTGTTTTACACCCAAATTCTATAACTCTGAACCAGGACAAGTGCTCTTTCTACCACATCAATCCTGTTATTTTCCATATCCCATGGATATGTCTCTTCAAGTCGCCTTTACATACATATTTTTTCTTTTTATTCCCAATGCTACCACAGTGGGACAAAGCTACTATGACTGCTTTCTTGGACTTCTTCAAACAGCCTCCTGACAAGTCTTCTTAAACCCCTGCTTTTGTCATCCTACTTACTGAAAAGCCTTCAGTGGCTTCCCAGGGAATGCTGGATCAAGTCAGTACTTCTTAGCCTTGGCTTTCACAACCAAGTCCCAAGCTACCTTTCCAGTCTTATCTCCAGCTACTTTCCTACACAAATCACCTACCGCAGCCAGGATGGTCTCATTGTCCCCGAAGCATACTAGATATGCTCTTTCCTAACTCCATGCTTTTGTCCTGAGCTGGAATGTTCTACCTTCCATTTATCTGAACCCTACTCATTTTCCGAATAACTCAATTTCAGAATTGGAAGAGATTTAATCCAATCCATACTTAACTATGAATCATCTCCTTTCCTGTCTATGGGTTTGGCTTAAATGTCCTTTGAGGTCTTTCCAAATCTGAGATTCTATGATTTTATGAGAAGTGGTCATCTAGTTTAGTTGGAAGACCCAAGACATAGATTAATAGACCTGGAAAGGACCTTAGAAATCATCTGGTCCAACCACCACCTCATTTTAAAGAAAGCTAAAGCTCAAAGGTGATGTGTTTTGCCCAAGTTCACATCTAGGTTTTAAACCCAGGTCTTCTGACTCCAAAATCAATGTTCTCTTCAGAGGTAGCAAACCCAGTGTCTCTAGAGGAAGCCCGCTTTACTTTTTGGTCCTTAGACTGAGCTGAAATCACTCTGCAGCTTCTTTTCTCCTCATAATTCCACCCTCTGGGATCACACAAAACAAGGCTACATGTTTACAATTATCAAGTATCACATGGCATAATGTTACAGGCCAAGTCCCATTTGGATTATACTCTCCAAGGAACGCTCATGTTTGAATTTGGACATGCTGAGTTTAAGGACATCCAGTTCAAGATGTCCAAAAGACAGCTGGAGATGAGAGACCATGCGTTAGTAGAAGGCAGGGCTGGAGAAGTAGATATGAGAATCATCATCATAGAGATGATGATCAAATCCATGGGAGCTGAGGAGACTGCCAAGCGAAATAATATAGAGGGAGAAAAGGACAGAGCCTTGGGGGACAACCATAGTTAGTGGGGATGATCTGGATGAAGCCCCAGCAAAGGAGACTGAGAAAGAGTCAGTAAGGGAATCAGGAGATTCCAAAAATGTAGATAGAAGAGAGTGATTGACAGTGTCAAAGGATATAGAGAGGTCAAGAAGGACAAGGATTGAAAAAAGGCCATTAGATTTGGCAATTAAAAGACTGTTAGTAACTTTGGAGAAAACAGCCAGTTGAATGATGTGTCAGAAGCCAGACTGCAGAGTGTGAGAGTTAAGTAGAGGCTTCTATTGTAGATGGCCTTCTCAAGAAGGTGAGTCACAAAGTGGGAAGAAATATAGGATGATAGCTAGCAGCAGAGATGAATAGCTCAACTAAAGGTTTTTTTTGATGATGAGGGGGAAACATGGGGATGTTTGTAGGTGGTAGGGTAGTCAGTAGAAAGGGCCAGATTGAAGACAAGTGAGAGAGTGGGGACGATAAAGGGGACAATCTGAGGGAGGAGACAGGATGGAACGGGATCACTTGTGTGCAGGTAGAGGGGTTTGCCTTGGGAAGGAGAAGGGCCATCTCTTCATGTGAGACAGGTGAAGGACAGAGTAGAAGGCACACGACAGATATGAGATGAAGAGAAGAGGAAAAGAGAGAGTTCTCAGCAAATGGCCTTAATTTTTTCAGTAAAATATGAGGCAAAATATGAGTAAGGGGGGGGAGGGAGCCAAAGGAGGCTTGAAGAGGGTTGAAAAGTGTGGAAGTGAGCTGTGGTGAGTGGGATAGTGAGTTACTGAGGGAGGTATAAAAGGACTGCCTCACAGCAGTAAGGACCCAATTGCAATTACGTATTAAAAATTTGTAGTGGACCCTGTCAACGTAGTTTTGTGATTTTCTCTAGTTTTGTTCAGCTGCACGTGTATAGGAACAAAGACAATGGACGATGCAAGTGATCCAAGGCTGAGGCTTAGCAAGGAAAGAGACTCAAGAAAAGAGGAAAGTATAAAGTTGAACTGGTTCATCAAGGGACCAAGATGAGGAAGGGAGGAGAGTGTAGCCTAGTGTAGGGGTGGTGGCCTGGGAAAGAAATGAGACAAGAAGGGACGGGATGTCATAATGAAGATGAAAGCTTTAGGGTTGTAAGGCAGAGAGAGAGGTGGAATGACAAAACAGATTGTGATCAGATGAGGGAATTTCAGAGTTCATGAATAAGGAAGGGGTGCATCTACAGGTGAAGGAAAGATCAAGGGTATGATAATCTTTGTGTACAGCTGAGGTGGGAGGAGAAATGAATAAGTTGAGGAACTGAAAGGTTAGCGTCTTATAAGGAGTACACACATATACGTTGAAGTTCCCTAGTATAAAGACAGGAGTTGAGGAAGAGATAAAGGCGGTAAGCCAAGCACTGAAGAAAAAAAGTCGGGAGGGTGTCCCAGAGGTCAGTAGACAACAGCTTCCAAGGTGGTAGATATGGATTAAGTGAACCTAAAAGGACAAGAAGAAGTTACCTTGTGATGATGATAGAGAGAGAACCTGGAAGCTGCAATGGGGAGCCAGGAGTATTCCAATTCTCGGACCTTGACCAGTGAATTGGGGGTAATGAGTTTTCCAGCCAATGTTGGAAACAGAGGCCAGGGAGGCTGTGTCATCAGGATGGAGCCAGGTCTCACTGAGAACCAGAAGATGGAAGGAGTGGGAAAAGATGTAAGATGAAAGCAAGTTTGTTGCCTGTGGAGCAGGCATTCCAGAGCACAGTGGAAGAGGTAGATAGCTTTGGAGTGGGACATGGAGGGGGGATCTAAGGAAAATGGGAATAAGGGATAGGAAGTGGGTGACCAGGGAAGAAGTTTGAATAATGACTGCTTGAGGGTCAGAATCAGCAAGATGGAGAGGGTATGACTAGGAAGGAGTTAATCATTGAGAGAGTTTAGGTACATTTTCATTGTTCACAGGGTTTTAGGCAATTCAGGGTAGGGGACAAGTCTTGAAGCTTAAAGAATGATATTATTTCTCATCCCCCAAAATAGGAGACATGGCTGGAAAACTGATGGAATGGCCTTTCTCCTCTTTCCTGGAAGAGAGGAACCTGGTGCTCAATGGAACAATGTTCTCCACTTCCAGCAGGAGACAGGAATATTCCAATATTGCCTCCTTTTCTGGAGGGATGCTGAAAACCAGGTGGGAATCCTGGGATGAGGAAATGCTTTTCTCTCTCCTCCAAATTCATATAGACACGCCCTGTTTCTCAATGGTGGGACATATACTTCCCAGAGTAGGGAACGGATCTTCTGCCCTATAGGTCCCCTGCAACTTTCATTTAGCTTCAGATAGTCTGTTTGACTTTATTCCCACTCTTCTTCCTCTATCCCCTGCTGGAATGTTATTAACCAGTGATTCAGAGAACTTGGGTATGAGTTTGGCCTCTGCCATTTACTAGCTGTGCTACCATAAGCCAGTCTCTTCACTCAAATCTCTGCTTCCTCATCTGTAAAATAGGGAAATTACTAATACATTACCTACCTCTGAGGGTTGTTGTGAGGATCAAATGAGATAATTTATATGAAGAACATTGTATACCTGGAAACAATACTCTTTATCTTCATGTTTTCCTTAAGCCCATGTTGGTCTTTCTGCCCACTGTTTCATTATAAGGCACACTATCTCTCCCACTTATTTTTGACACTTAAATCAGTCTCAAAAGGAAGACAGGGAAGAGAACAAGCATTTATTAAGCACCTTCTAAGTGCCATGCACTGTGCTAAGCACTTTACAAATATTATTTCATTTGATTATCACAACCAACCTGGGAAGCAGATGTTATTTTTATCCCTATTTTTACAAGTAAAGAAACTGAGGTAGACAAAAGTTAAGTGACATGTTATGAAGCTAGTGTGTGATGCTAGATTTGAACTCAGGTCTTCCTGACACCAGGCCCACTGCTATGCTACCGTCTGCCTCGAAAACTGTTTTCATGTGTATTTAAGTCTTGTCTCACCCAAAAGGCCATAAGCTCTTTGATGGCAAAGGCTATGAAGAAATTAACCTTCTTTGGTAGAAGTTACATTTATCATCATTAGTAATGTTTGTGTTAAGTAATTTTAATATTGTAAAACTATTATGACAGGAATCTGCAACGTCACTACGCTGGGGGAACCTGAGTGATGTCATTAAAGAGAACCTGTAGAAGACAGAGATGAAAACCTGACAGCCTCATTTATTGGTTTGGGACCTAAGAGTCGTCTTTGCTCTACAAATGAGATGAGAACTTAAGGCATCCCTCAGACCAGAAACACGAAAAAGTCAACAGGGAAGTTAAGTACTGAAAAGGGAAAAGATAGGGAGTTTCATGTGATGTATGGAGGCTCCAAAGGAAAGATGGTCCCTGTCATTGAGGTGATACAGTGCTAGTGGGTGCAGCACTTAGACAATAGGTTAAGAATTTGAGCTTCATTACAGGGTAGAATCAGCCTACAGAACTGGTTAAAAGCAAACCAAATAGGACAGAGAAAAACAGGTTTAGAGGTGAATCATGGGTGGGGAACCTGTGGCTTCAAGGCCACATGTGGCCCTCTAGGTCCTTGGGTGGGGCCTTTTGACTGAGTCCAACTTTTACAGAACAAATCCTTTTATTAAGGAGATTTATTCAGTGAAGTTTAGATTCAGTCAAAGGGCTGCACTTGAGGACCTAGAGGGCCACGGCCACAGGTTCCTCAACCATGAACATGTCAGGATCATAAGGTTTAGAGCTGGAGATCATCCAGTCCATTGTATATGAGGGCTGGAAACCAGTGACTAGCAAAAAGGACAAGGAAGGCAAGATTAGTGGAGAATGGCTTGAAATTCAAGGGGGAAACTTTGGGGGCCAAATACATAAGTATTTTGGTTATCCAGGGGACAGGAGAGCAGGACAATTCCAGGGAAAAGGAGATAAGGTGGGGGTTCATACCTGAAAATAATACTGAAAGCAGGTTCTGGGAAGGAATGAAATCCCACAAGATGTGGCAGTGCTGACAATCTGAATCTACCTCAGGCTAAAAGCTCGAGTATCTCTGTCCATCACCCATTCTCTGGCATCTACTCCAAAGAGCTGATATAAGAAAAAGGGGCAGAGTTTATCCTGTAAAATCTGTGCCAGCCAAGTCAATCTTGAGCTAGATGTTAAATATGGAATCAGAAATCTGTACTCTATGAGTTTGTTTGCTCCTATGTTTTCATCCTTTATTTTTGTTTTCCTTGAGTTTCCTGGTTAAAGTTCTTAAAAATTCTAACCTCGTTTCTACAGAACCAAATTAAAAAGGATTTGTTCAGGTTAAGAAGATAAATGGTCCCAAGAATGAGGTGGCCACAACAGCAGAACAACAATAGCTTCACAGGCCTTGAGAAAGGCCTTTTTTAGAGCCAAGGTAGGTACTTACTGTCTTAACCCTAGAGGCCCCTTTCCTAGGCTTCTAAGTATGTTCTTTCATTCAATACTCCAAGGATTTGTGATTTTGAAGTCCCTCTGCTAACAGAGATTGCAACCAAAGCACAAGGGTAAAGACAAGGACAGTTGAGGATGCCTATCCTCTCCTCCTTGGGCTATTCCTCCTCAGGGACTAAGTCATAGCTTCTTGTTTGGGGCTCCTTCTAGTCTGGGGCTCACAAGGAGGCACAAGTAGGCACTTGCTGAATTCAATTATTTTCTTTCACATCCTTCATCCTCCCCACTCTCCTTACCTGGTCAGCCATCACTGTTCGGTGCTGGTATACCCCAGGGTTGAGCTGCCATCGACAGAACTGGCCCCTCCAGCCACGGGTGATGGTACCGCCTCCAAGCCCACCCAGTGGACAACCTAGAGACATAGTCAGGGGTCAGAGACCAACACTTGAAAGCAGAAGGAGAGGAAGGGGGGAAGGGGAAATAGTGGTGGTGAGGTGACAAGCTACAGAGGAGAGAACATAAAGTCACATCTTGTTTGATGGACTATATGCAAGGAGTGTTTTGTTTGTTTTTAAAAGATGGAGAAGCGGCCTCTTTTCTTCTTTCCAACTTCCCCCCTAAGGAGGTTGGAACTTTTTCCTTGAAAGTGAAATGTATGAATTCTTTGCCTTTTCTCCCTTGAGGATTGCTCACCATAGATTTGCCTCAGGGGAAGGCAGTTAAACATGTCTATGAAGGGAGTCTTCTTCTCCACCTGTGTCTTCTGGTACCACCATTTAAGATACCTAAGGGCAGAAATGACACTAACAGGTAAGAGAGGTAGTAGCAGCTCCAATTCAAGTTCTTTATTTCCAAATGCCTTCTACAGCTCCCAATAGTACCTCAAACTTAACAAGGCCCAAACCAAACTCGTCCCCTTCCTTTCTAAGCCAAATTCCCAGCCCTTATTTCTATCAACAACAAATGCACTCTTTCATTCAACCAAGCTAACTTTAGGGACATCTTTGATTGAGAGGATATGAAGAGGGGAACCTCTTCTCTACTCCTTAAAAGATTTACTCTGTTAGTAATCTTGTCATGTTTTCCCCCATGAAATGTCCTTCATTTCACCCCTTTCTTTTCACAGCCACCAACTCAGTCCAGTTTCTCATCATTTATGAGCACAGATTTAGAGCTGGAAAAGACCTCAGAAGCTAGCCAGTTTAACCTTCTCATTTTACAGATGAAGAAAATGAGGCCCAGATAAAGTAAGTGATTTGCCTGAGGTCACACCATAAGTGGCAGAGCCAGGATTTGAATTCAGGTCCTCTTATTCCAAATCCAGTATTCTTTCCACCTCACTACACTACAGCCAATCTGTCCCTTTTACTGTAACCTGTACACTGCTGTAGGATTAATCTTAAAACATCAGTTTTTTCATCCTACTTCTTGAACAAAAACACTTTTAATGGCTGCCCAGCACCTACAGTAAGGCCAAAATCCATTTTAGCTTGGCACTCAGGGTTCTTCACAATCTGGTCCCATTGTGTCTTTCTAGGCTTTTTTCTTGTTACTTCCTTATTTGAGACAGCCTAAGGAGCTGGGAGGATACATGAAAGTGCCATTAATAGAAATAAGGAAGTCAAGAGGAAACCTGGTTTACCAGGCAAGGTAATTATGGAAATAATGACTGTGTGACCCATCAGTACCTCAGATTCAACAACAACAGTGGTTTTGGATTCAAAAGACCTGGGTTGGAGTTTGGACTTTGGCACATGCTATCTGTGGAACCTTAAGTAAATATCCTTAATTTCCCTTTCCTCATCTATAAAATACAGATAACGATAGCTATGCTATCCCTCTGTACATTGTAAAATACTCTATCAATAGTAGTTATTGTTATATAAACCCATCACTCCAGCCAGTCTGGGATTCTCATTGCCTCCATATAATCCACACCCATATTTTTGTTTGTGATGTTGGCTCTTTCTGAAATAGTTTTACCATTCTTCTCCACTTAATTCAAATCCTGTATTTCAAGGCTGACAAATTAACTTTATTTTTTATTGTGTGGACATACAACAGAACAAATATTGAGTAAATGCCTAGTGTAGAGAAAATGCTAAGAGTGAAAATTTTAGAAAATAGTCTCTTCAAGCAACAAACCAAAAAATAAAGTCAAGTATCCAGATACAGATATAAGTGCAATGTGAAGAGACTCTTTTTTTTTTCTCTGATAGGAATTATAAAATGAAATGTTCTGTGAGGTCTGAGGGAAAGATCATTATCTTTCAGATCAGGAAAGGCTTCCTGAAAAACTGGCATTTGGGTTGAGCTTTCAAGGATGAATAGGAACAATATGACAAAACCTACGCATATGAAAGGTTATTATGACAATGGCATGAAGAATGGATTAGAGGGAGCAGGAAATGTAGGTGAAAAGACCTGTTAGCAAGCTACTTCAATAGTACAGGCTCTTATGACAGCCTGTACTAGAGTGGTAGCTATAGGGACAGAGAGGAAAAGGCAGATTTGAGAGATGTTGAGGAAGTGGAATCACTGGGACTAATATGACATAAGGGAGAGGAAAGAGTCAAAGAAATCCTCAAGGTTATGAACAGGGGACAACTAGGTGAATGGTGATAGCATGTAGAGAACTAGTGAAGAAGGAGGAATAGGTTTAAAGAAGATAATGAACCTGATTTCTGAATGTAGATTTTGTAAGATTTAGACAGAAAAGACCTTAAGGAACACCTAACACAACTCCCTTGTTGCACAGGTAAAGAAAATGAGGCTCTGAGGGCTTAAGCTATTTGTTCAAGATAACATAGTGAGCCAGTAGCCGAACTAGGGTTTGACAAGAGGTCTTTTGACTCGAAATCCTAGTCTATTTTCAATATGCAGTTTGACTCTTGAGAGGCTCCTGAGACATCCAAGTGAAGATGTCTTGTGGTCAGATGAAGATGCAGGTCTGGAGCTCAAAAGAAAGGTCAGAAAGGGAGGTACAGACACAAGAGCTGTCTGCATAAAGGTAGTGAGTGAAGCTCTGTCAATGCATGAGATTGCCAAGGTAAGAAGTGTAGAGAGAATTAGGCTGGAAACTCCTTGAGAACCAAGACTACCTTCTGGCCTTTACTTGCATTCCCAGAACTTAGCCACTTAACACAGATTGGCACATAGTAGGCTTAAAAAATGCTCACTGACTGAGAGAGAACCAAGGTCAAATTCCTTAGAAATCATCCAAACATTGGGAAGTATGTGAAGAGCCAGCAACAAGGATAAAGAATTAATGGTGATGAGAACCAAGAGAGTGTGATCTCTCCAAAGTCGGAGGAATGAAGGAATATCCAGCAGGAAAAGGTGGTCAATGTCAAAAACTATAGAGAGGTCAAGAAAAATGAAGACTGAAAAAACTGAAGCTGGATTTGGTAATTAAGGGATTCTTAATGATCTTGGAGAGAGCAATTTTAGCAGAGTGATGGTGGTGGAAGCCTAGTTGCAAGGTGTTGAGAGGCCCTGGGTAGTGAAAAAATGGAGGCATCTGGCATTTAGTAAGTTTGGTAGTAAAGGGAAAGAGAGTAATGGAAATCTGGTCTCTCAAACAAGACAATAAACTGTTTGGGACAGAAACTATGCCTTAAATCTTTCTATTTCCCCAAAGAAAAACACCTTGCAAGTATCACAATAAATGTTTGTTGATTGAAGGATTAGCTCAAATCTCATCTAGTTCCTTAAGTTTTTCCATTCTAGCCTATCACTACTTCTGTTGCCATTTGAAGATTTTTATACCATTAATTTTAGTAATCAACTACTGTACTCAAACATTTGAACAATAATGATATAGGTTTCATCCTCTTATGCCAATTAGATTTAAATTCTTCAGAGGACAGAGTAGTCCTAGACTACTTTGGTATTCCTTAAAGGATCTTCCATAGGGCATGGCACAAGTGAGCATTTAATAAAAATAAATTCATGAATGATGGGATGAGAAATGGAAGAGAGATGCAGGGGCAGACATGAGGTAAAAGAAGTGGGATAAACAGTACGCTCCAAGGGAAGGTGAGAAAGACGAAAATAGAATTAAGATGGAAAGAGAGAAGGCATAAGAAATTTGGGGACAGAGTTTGGCAAGCAGTTGGGGGAAGGTGGGTTGAAAGATAAGGCAGGAGAGTATGGCTTAAGGGAAAGGTAAGAACAAGTTTCTACCTAGCTGTGGCAGTGCTGATGGCAAATTTAGGTTACACAAACTCAACTGGTGCCTCACTGATGCTAAGTAACCCTTTTATGCCTCCCTTATTAACTTACTATCCCACTCTCCACAGAAACTCTTCCAAACCTTTTCATCCTTTCTCAAACTTCCCATGGCTCTGCCTCCCCTCAACTCTTTCATCTGAGAATCTGGTCTCACATCTTAATGAAAAAAATTAAGTCCATTTGCTGAGAATTCCCTCTTCTCCCCTTCTCATCCCATATCACTAGGGTGTCTTCAGACACTGTCTCCTCTTTCCCCCATTTCACATGAAGAAGTGACCCTTCTTCCCAAGGCAAACTCTTCTACTTGCACAAATGATCCCATTCCATCCTGTCTCCTCCTGCAGAGTGCCCCCTCTTTTGTCCCGACTCTCACTCATCTTCAATCTCTCTCCATCTACTGACTGCTTCACTATAAACATGCTTTGCTTACAAGCTTGCCCATGTCTCCCTCTCATTGTTAAAAAACCCTTTCTTGAACCACTCATCTCTGCTGCTAGCTATCATCCTATATTTCTTCTAATGTTTGTGGCTCAACTCCTTGAGAAGGCCATCTACAGTAAATGCCTTCACCATCATTCAACCGAAATTGCCCTCTCCAAAGTTGTCAGTGATTTCTTAATCACCAAATCCAATGGCCTTTTCTCAGTCCTCATCCTTCTTGATCCCTCAGCAGCCTCTGACATTGTCCATCACTCTCCTCTCTATATTTTCATTGCATTACTCTTTCTTGTTTCTGCTCTTTCTCAGTCTCCTTTGCTGAATCTTCATCCAGGTAATGACCACTAACCCATCAGTATCCCTACTGGGCTCTGTCCTGTGCCCTCTTCTCTTCTTCCTCTATACAATTTCATTTGTTGATCTTATCATGTCCCATGGACCGAATGATCATCTCTATGCGGATGATTCTCAAATCTACTCATTCAGCCCTAACCTCTCTGTTGACTTCCAGCCTCACATCTCCAATTGCTTTTAGACATCTTAAACTAGATGTCCTGTAGACATCTTCTATACCTCTCCCTCTCTTCCCCTTTATCCAATCTGTGGCCAAGGCCTGTTGGTTTCACCTTTGCAACATTTCTGTAAACTCCTGGAGAACAAGGACTATCAATAGTTTTTCTTTGTATCCCTAGTGCTTAGTACAGTGACTGGCACACAGTAGATGCTTAATAAATGCTTACTGATTGACTTATACCCAGTGACCCAGGAAGAACACTATTTCTCCTTCCCCACACCTCCTCCTCTCTGATAATCTCCTTTCTTGGGCTTTTCTCTCTCCCTTCATCTTAAGAGCAGCCTAGTCATTCCCTGGCTTGTTTGGCTTTCTTTGTAATTTCAATCACATCACATAGTGTCATCCTTTGGGCTTCCCTCTTTGCCCCACCCTACATTTTCCTTACTGAGGTACCCCAACTCCCAATCTCATTCCAGTTCCCTGTGTCACAGCTCCCACCCCACCCTGGCATGGGGAAACTGAGGCCCCAGTCTGGATCCAGGATGACTCAGCCTGTGGTCAAGCTCCTCTGAATTCAAGGGTCCAGGGAAGACTTAGCCATGCACATATTATCACTCCTACGCTTCCCCAAGAACTCCAAGATGAACTCTCAGGCTCAAACCATTCAGGGGAAAAACCAGATTAGGCTGATGCCCACCAAAAGTATGGAGTAGCCTTCTCTAACACATAGCTATGGCTAACCAAAGGGAACTCTGTCACCTTTTCTCTCTACACAAGGTAGTGTGACTTGACCCTACTCAATAACTGATGGGAGAATGGTTGAGGACCTGACGAACCCAGGCAGAGACTTTAGGGCAGATGTAGGGAACCTGTGGGCCTCAAGGCCACAGGTGACGCTCTAGGTCCCTGGGTGAGGCCTTTTGATTGAGTCCAAGTTTTACGCAACAAATCCTTTTATTATGGAGATTTGTTCCATGAAGTTTGGATATGGTCAAAGGTCTACACCCAAGGACCTAGAGAGTTGCATGTGGCCTTGAGGCTGCAGGTTCCCCACCCCTATTTTAGAGCCTTCAGGGTAGTAGTAACCTTTGCTTGTAGTTATCATATCACTCTTATCTTTTCACAACCTCAGATATAATCAGTTCTGGGTTTCTTTTTCTACCCTTTTCTCCAGTTGCGTGTTTCCTAACCAGACTCAGGGTCATGCTCCTCTGCCTGTCCTGCATCCATCTGTCTCTTTCTTATTTTGAGGTTCACATCCTCTCACTTTACTCACCTTGTACTGTAAAGCAGCATTATCCTTTGGCTTGCTATCTGGGGATGGGGGAGGGGGGTGGAAGATAGAAAGGAGAGAACCATGGCTCTGAAATGAGCCTCAGACAGGTTCTAGGATAAATAGAAAATCTCTGGTACCATCTGTTACCATCTGTCTTTTTTCTTTTGAGGGCATCTCAAAATTACTGTTGATTATTAAACGCAATTATTAAGACACACATTATCCACTGAAGCAGCTGGGCTAATACTTCTAAGGTTCTTTCCAGCTTTAAATTTATGATTCTTGGAGTCAATGCAGATTGCCTCCCATCCTGACTATTCTCTTCAAATCCAGGAGGTGTCAGGGCGAACTTTTAAGGGAAGCTTAGATGATGGGACAGGAGGAAATTCGGAAGATGTTTACAGTTTGGTGGAAATCTAACTCATGACACCTTGGAGGCTGCCTCACAACAGTCATAAATAGTAGGTCCCTACTTTTCCTTCCCTTGCCCTGGGTGACTAGCTATCTGGAAACATAAACAGTAGCCTAGAGTGAAAACACAAGAATTCAGGTAAAAAGGAACAGGAAGGCAGGGTCTGTTAGTCTTAGTTCTGAGCAATGCAGGGTCCTGAGTTTCCTAGAGGTTAAGTAGTCAAGATATGACATGCACTCACTGCAAGACTCTATTTCTTCCATCTTCCCCAAGCTCAAATAACAGGGTAATGGGAAGGTAAAATATGTCTAGAACATAAGGGACACTCAACGTTAGCTACGATGTTATGGAGTCAGAAGCAATGAAACACTTACCGGACACCCATGCCCAAGTGCTTCACCAAGTTGCTCATGGAGACGTTGTTGGCCTGGAAGGGCTTCCTCTTCTCAAGAAATTCATGAGCTAAGCAGATGCGCCAGCCAAACCGAGGTACCTGGTGGCCCATGGCTGTGCCCTCATAGGCGGCCATCAGCTGCCCAGGGTCTTCTGGGATTCCATTGTTTGGATCATTCCTCTCCCTTGCGTTCTCTGTGCTTCCATAGCTTGGGCTCCCCGTGTTTTGGGAGCCACAATTTTCTGTCCCATGGGCCCCTAGGTCTCCCTTGATTCCTCTAACCTCGGGGGTCCTGGTCCTGGTCCCCAACAATCCCTCCATGCTTCTTGGTCCTGCAGTCTCCGAGTCCCACGTTAGCAAAGTTCTGACCCGGGCACCAGCTTGTCAAGTTCCTGGGCTCCGGGATGAGCCGGAGCGCGTCTCCTCCTTCGCTGTCCTCGGGCTTACCCAGGCCTCAGCGGGGTAGATCTGGGCAGAGACGAACCGAGCCAGGGCCACAAAGGAGAGGCACCGAATCACTTCCTTAAATCCTGGGCGGGAACGGCTGGACCCAGACCTCCAGGTCATGGGTCCAGAGATGATACAGGACAGCGGCAGGCGAGGAGGGAGGAGTCCCTTTATCGGGCCTTAAAGGCCACGCCCCGCCCTGCGGGCGGACCGGACGGAGGCGCCAGGTCCCAGCTCCTAAGCGGCCCCGCTTCCGGTCCCGGGGGCCCGGGGCGGGGTGGGGGGGACAGCAGCCCCTGATCCCGGATCCCGTCCCCTACCGGCTCTTCGGCCGGAAGAGGCTCTCCCGCGGAATCAGACAGGAAGTCCCGCCTCCAGGGCCGGCACCGCCACGCACGCAGCGTCACGTTACGTGGCTACGCCACGCCGAGCCGAGGGACGAGGAAGTGGAAGCACGGACTGGCCCAGGTAGCCCGCGGTTCGGAGGGGCCGCCACGGGTCATTGGGGCGGGGCCTTGGGCCAGCTGCGGTCAATCCGGGGAAGCTGCTGCTGCTGCGGAAGGCCAGGAGTGGGCCGGGGTGGGGACCGGGACAGCCTGGGGCGGGAAGGGGCCGGCCCGCAGTGCCCGGCTCGTCCTCTGCTTCCCTAGCGTCTCTCCTGGGGGCGATCAGGTGCCTTCCTTCCTATGGCCTCAGCCTCGGAGCAGCGGCATCACGTTCCACCCCGGGTATTCCCGGTGCTGGCCTCCCACTTCCCCACCCCACTCGGGCGGCAGCCTCCTCGCCTCCTTTCCGGACTCAAGACCTGCCGCCAGTCCGCCCTGCACGTGAATTGTTTGCGGAGTTGTTTGCATGTCGTCTTCTCCATTAGAGCGAGTTCTTGAGAGCAGGACTGGTTGTTGCCTTTCTTTGTAGCCCCAGCTCTCGGCACATAGTAGGCGCTTAAGTAAATGCTTGTTAACTGATTCCACCACCCCGCCCCACCCCCCTTGCCTTCTATGTTCAGTGCTGACATTTGATCTCTGCCATTCCCACGTAGAGCTGCTCCCGGGGCTACCATGATTGAGCTGGTAGCAGAGCTGAGTCGGGGCCCCGTGTTTCTGGCTGGGGAGGCACTGGAGTGTGTGGTGACTGTCACAAACCCCTTATCTCCCACGGCCACCTCTGCATCCAGGTACTCACTATGTGAAAAGGCAAGGAACAGAGCAGGGTTCTGTCTTATAACTGAGGGAGGGAGTCCCTGTCCTTGGGATGGTCAGTTTCTATAACTATTCTTTCCTCCATTCTCCCCTCTTCATTAAGATGTTTATTTTGTGTATGTCTCAAAAATATTCATATATACATATTGTTTCTCACTTGATGAAATATAAACTCTTGAGGGTAGGGAAGCTTTCATTTTTGTCTTTGCATCCTGAGCACCAGCACTTTGCACCATTCCTGGTATAGAAGTACTTAGCAAATATTTGTTGATTGATTGGTTGACCTTCTTGATTGTTAGACCCTAATCTTTGTGGGGAGTGGTATGCCTGACGGGACACCCCTATCTCGTGACCCTATCTTTTAAGACTGCTAAACGTTTGCCTTCTGGAAGTTCTTTGAGGCCTGTGGTTTTCAGGAGCAGTTGTTTATGTGACTTTAGGATAGAACTCAGGAGATCAGGGTTTCTTGGGACTGGAGTAGGGGGTGCTGAGGGGAGGGGAATGGGCATCCGAAAAGTTTGTGGGGATCAAGGACCTGCCTTCTGTAATACTTGTCCCTTCACCAACAGTGAAGCATTGGCCTGGGCCAGTGCCCAAATACATTGCCAGTTCCATGCCAGTGAGAGCCGTGTGGCGCTGCCCCCCCCAGACTCCAGCCAGCCAGATGTCCAGCCTGAGAGCCAGACTGTGTTCTTGCCACACCGAGGTTAGGGACATGTATCTTTTGTTACTCAGGGCATGGAATCTGCCTTGACTAGATCCTTATCATCTGAGGAAATTGGTATTGCTATATAGGGGTTGGGTCGTGCTGGTGGTGTTGTTGCTGTGCTGTCCCTGTCAGGGTTGGGGAGAGTAGCAGGAAGTGTCAGTGTCAGACTCTTTGTCCTTGTCATTTGGGGTGGTGACTGTCAAAGTCATATGGAGGTGAGATAACATGCCCTGTCATACAGTTGTGTATATGACTGTGACTGTAATATGGGAGGGGTCACTGATGATCCTTGTTGCACAGGATGAGAGTAAGATTATTGGATTGCATGCCCCTATCATAGCCAAAGGAAAGGATAGCCTAGGAATTGCATGGCATCCTAAGTACAGATGCTGTCATCACTACTTGGTATCCCCTCCCTACTACTTTCATGGCTTCCTCTGTCCCTGATTTTGTATCTTTCAGTCTCATCCAGTTTTACTGGTCTCCTTTCTCCAGGTGAGCGGGGTCAATGCATCCTATCTACTCCTCCAAAGATTCTGTTCTGCGACTTGAGACTAGACCCCGGAGAGTCCAAATCCTGTGAGTAGGATAGTTTCTTCTTTTTAATACCCTCTACGTGCCTCCCTGTGGCCTGACAGGAGTAGGCATACATTCTCTTATTCCTGACTTCTTCCTACCTAGATTCCTACAGTGAAGTACTTCCTGTGGAAGGGCCACCATCTTTTCGGGGTCAGTCTGTCAAGTATGTCTACAAGCTGACCATTGGCTGCCAGCGGGTCAACTGCCCCATCACTTTGCTTAGGGTCCCACTGAGGGTGCTTGTATTGACTGGTGAGTGGCAGGGTCATTGGAAAGAAGGGGAATGGTAGAGGAGACATTAGTCTTTGGGGTATGGAAGGAGGAGGACTTCAGGGAAGCTTCCCATATCCACTAAAAGTATTATAGGATGGTAAGGCTTGGGGCCCTGGGGAATAAGTTGAGTCTCATGTTTCCATGGTCTCTTCCCATCTTGGAACTTTGTACATTTCCAGATATTATCTGCTCACTATTCTGTTCCTTCATAGTTTCCCTATTCGTTCTATCCTTCTGACACTGCCATCTGTTTTCTGTTTCTGTTCTGGAGATCCATATCTCCCTAATCTGTTTCCAATCTCCCAGTACTTCTCAGCTCACAACCTTTGTTAACTCTTCGAATGTATTCCATTCCATTCCATACTTTATTCCAGATTCTCTCCCCAGGCTTCCAAGATGCCCTGTTCCCCCAGGATGAGGCTGTGGCTCCATCCAGCCCATTCCTGGAAGAAGAAGAAGTAGGTAGAAAGGATTCACGACTAGCAGAATTGGCAGGAGAGTTCCTCATGGCTGCCACATCCCGCCGCAGTTTGTGTAAGGCTGTTTCTCCCCCACAAAGCCTCCCTTCAGAGGTACCTCCATGTGTATACTCATAGATCAATTTGTGAGGAGGGCTGCCTTCTGCTTCAGCTTGTGTAAGGATACCTTCCTTGGGAAAAAACTGCTTTCAGAGACACCCCTATGTGTATATTCCATAGACCAATTTGTGGGGAGGACTACCCTCAAGTCATTCTAGGGCCCAGGAACTCCCCCTACTCCCACCTCCCCAGCCCCCTGCTCCTCACCCATACCACCTGTCCTATTTGAGCCCTCTTCCTCCCAGTCTGTTGCCATTCTAATCCAATCCCTGCTGGATCCTTAGGAAGGGACCTTTGCTGGCATGGGAGTCCTGGCTCACAGATCTCCATTCCTCCTACCCCCAGATCTATACAATATCAGTGACGGTCGAGGGAAAGTTGGGACCTTTGGAATCTTCAAGTCCGTATACAGACTTGGAGAGGATGTAATAGGAACCCTGAACCTGGGGGAAGGGACTGTGGCCTGTTTGCAGGTGAGGGGGAAAGAATACCATGGGGGGAATGGGGGATGGGGTTGCAACTTGGAGTTGACCTGTTTATATGGATGGGAGGCTGGGAATGGATCTATGAAGGAAGCCTTTTTGGGGGGTGATGAGATAGCATATCCAAGGTTGTGGTGGGGATGGCCTATAGTAGGGTGATATAAATAAAGACGGCTATAAGTTGGGGCATGCTATTCATGCAGTGGCCACTAATTTCCACTTGTGAATGCCTTTCCCTGCCATCAGTTCTCAGTGAGTCTACAGACAGAAGAGACTGTCCAGCCTGAGTACCAGCGGCGCCGGGGGGCAAGTGGGGCTGCTTCTGTGTCCCACGTGACTCATGCTCGACACCAGGAATCCTGTCTACACACAACCAGAACTAGCTTCTCTCTTCCCATTCCACTAAGCTCTACCCCAGGCTTCTGCACGGCCATTGGTGAGGCTCTACACGGATACTAGTCTTACCCCAGTGCAGCATCCAACTACTGTGGGGTGAGACTTCACTCTGTGCATGGGTGGGCAGGACTGACCATTCCAAATACACTAATTCTCCTCTTCCCCCACCCTTTAGATCCTATAATTTGCTGAACCACCTCATCCCACCCCCAAACCCTAGCAAATGCTCTTGCCTCTGTGGTAATGTTGACTCCTGCTTCCCAACACACTCACTCCAAGCCACCCTGGCTGGCTGGCCCCCCACACAACTTTAGGCTGTTAGCTGCTTGCCATCTACTGCTTGATCTGGTCTGAGGATCTCTAGTCTAAACATTTATAGAGGTGTCCATGACACCCCCCACCCCCACCCCAGCTCTGATTTCCAATCCTGGTAACCATTCCCCTTTCCTCATATTTCTAATCTCAGTGGCTTTTCCCTCTGTCTCACTACTGTCCCCCCCTTTTTTTTTTGTCTTCTCCCTCATCTTGCTGCTTTCTCCCTTTCATTCTGATCCTTCACCCATCTTCTCTCTTCCAGTGTCCTTGAAGTGGCGGCTACACTTTGAATTTGTGACATCTCGGGAACCTGGCTTGGCACTGCTCCCTCCCATGGAGCAGCCTGAGCCTGTGGTCTGGACAGGACCCGAACAAGTACCTGTGGACACCTTCAGTTGGGACCTCCCCATCAAGGTGCTGCCCACAAGCCCCACGCTGGTCTCCTACGCTGCTCCAGGCCCCAATGCCAGCACTGTCACCATCTGATCTGGGCTCCCATTACCCACTATGGCATGGCTGTGTTTGGACACAGCAGGAAACACAAGACTCCTACATGGCCCTCTCCTTCCTTTTTGGGGAAGTGTGAGTCTGAGAAGGGACTCCATGGCAGGCATTTGGCTGTCCATTAACTTATTTATTTAGAATAAATTCATAGCTGCTAGTGGTTTCCCTGGAGGTGGCAGCAGCCGCAGTGGGCAGGCAGGCAGCGAAGTGGATGGTCAGTGGAACTTAACTGGGACGTGGTCCTGGGTTCCCAGAGTCAGGGGTATTGGCTGAGCCCCATTCAAGGTCGGGGGGGCCTCCCCTGCAGGGCAGGTGAGGCTCAGCTTTTTGCACCAGGGAGATGTGGCAGGTGCCTTCCTCCCGTCGGACCTCACACCCAGCCGGGAAGTCGATGGGATGCTGGGACCTAGGTGAACATCATGGGGGAGGAAAGTGCACACTGAGGTGCTGCCTCTTCCCACCAGCTCTGCCTCCAGTCAAACCACTCTATTCCAGGAGCCCTTGTTTTAAAGCAAGAATAGGACTTGACTTCCACCCTGGACATTCTCCTATTCTGTACTTACCCCCTCTCCCTGTCCCAATACAACACATTCTTCCTTTCCTCCATGCCTTAATCCCTTTTGTCACATTTCATTAATTCTGTGTCATTTCCCTCGTCCCATTCCCAGTCAGGCACATCATAGTAACCCCAAATCACTTACGTATCGCAGCAGCCCACACCAACTGGGTGTAGGCAGGTGCAGTGGAAACAGTCGCTTCGGAGCCAGGATTCACCCAGGGTAAAATATTTCCCCTCATAGTGACAGGGAGCTGAGGAGGAATGAGGAAAGTTAGCAGGGATGGCATGACTTATGAGAAGAGCTTTGGCCTGGAGTGAGAGGAGAATTACAATGCTCTCTAATTTTTTTGGGGGGGGGCAGGAGAGGAGTGGGAAAGAAGGGAAAAGGGAGCATCCTTCCATAAATAAGAAGGAAATATACTTGTGTTAAGGATTGGGCTCAGATCATCTCCCCTCAGGCCCCCAGTTTCCTGTTTCCCTGCTCTCCCCTCTTCTGTCCTTTTTACCTTGAGCTTGGAAGTAGCATTTGCTGTGAGCTCCTTGCAGTTGCAAGAGGAGTGAAATCACCAAACAGATGGTTCCCCAGCTTCTTGGGGTCCCCCTGCTCCTCCCAGCCCACTGCCTCAGTGCCATTCCTGCAGTGCTAACTTTCACAGACCCTGCTTTACTCTCACGCAGAACCTTTTGCCTTGTCTTCTCTATCTCCCCTCTTAGTGTGTCTCCCCTGGGCTCTTGTCTCACACCATTCTATGCCCTCTGCTCTTGCAGGCACGAGGATGTTTATAAAGTGAGGACCCTGGCCCCCTGCTGAGGAGAGCTGGAAAAGCTGTAACTTGGTGTTTCCTGGGGTGAGGGCATGAAAACAAGTGGTCCAGCTTTAACAAGCTGTGAGAGCTGATTCATGTCCCAGCACAGCTTGGAAGGGGTGGGGGTTGGTGGACATGGGGCACTGGATTGGGCATTTCCCCAGTAAAGAGAAGTGGGAGGGGTGGTAGACTGCTAGGTGGTCCCCAGATCATTCCCCTGACCTAGAGAGGAGAGAGCATTTTTTCCTCTTTTCTTTTCCCTCCTTCCCCCAAAGTGGGAGGGTGTAGGGTATTGGGATTCCTGCCTGGACCGGAGGGAGGCATTTCCTGGGGACGGTTAGTTCTGTGTTGAAGCCAAACCAAGGAGCTGCAGTGGGGCACGACGGCCAGAGGCTCCAGGAAAGGGAACTAACATTGCTGTTACCACCTGGAGTGAAGAGAGGTCCCCCCCACATCTGAGATTACTTCAGAGATGGGGCTACCACCCTCAGGTGGAGCTGTCAACCTTTTTACATATCCCTCTCTCTTCCCTTTTCCTCTTTATGAGGCTCCCCCTCCCCTAAATCTGTTAGAAATAGTGACTTTCCCTTCACAGGTGGAATCTTCATACACAGGTAAAGGCTCTCAGTTGTCCTGAGATGAATTTGAGGTTTTCCCTCTGAGGTAGGGAATATCTCTAACACCTTAGAGATGGGTTTCTCCTGTCCACTCCCCATCAACATAAGCAAGCTTCCCTTCCAAGCTTCCCAGTGGGAGTTGTACTAAGCCAGTATGGACAAATGTACTTGGTTGAGCATGGACAGAACAGGTTCTCTTCATACCTCCTAGGCTGGGCTAGAAATGGAAGGTCTTGGGAAGAAGAGAAGCAAAGCCTAGAGATGTCCTTTGTCCTGGTGTTTTGCACGTGCTTTATTAAACCTCTCAGAAGCTGCCTGTTCAAGGTACAAGAGATTAGTCACCAAAAAAACACTTGCTAAAGCCTTGTATGTTAGACCATATGTAATCGTGGGAGATCTATAGTTCCTACCACTAGAACAAAAGGGGCTACTGTTCGCCGTGTCATTTTCCTGGTTAAAGCTGTCTTTTGGCAGGCTCTGCCGTCCTATGCTTCATATTACTCATTCCCTCTATCTCATGTCCCTACTATAGCTTTCCCATTCTTCATCTGTGTGCCATCACAGGATTCCTTAAGGTGGGTAGTGGAGGCACTATTATGTAAGGGAAACAGCACTGAATTTGGAGGCAGAAGATCTGACTTTGAATCCCAGCTTTATTTCTACCTGTGTGATTGTAGGCTTCTCTGGACCTCAGTTCCCTCATAAGATGATGGGATGCATGATGAGGACAGATGGTTCTGTAAGGTCCCAGCATTGACATGATCCTTGTCACTACCATTAAATTTATATTCTGGAGCTGGTTGGCTCTCTATTTCCCCCTTGACTCTTGAAGGAAAGGTTGGTGTAGACTGAATCTCTCCCTACTCAATGTAAGTAGCCTTTCTGCTTTCAGCCCTGAGTGCGGTTGAGTGAGGGGCACTCTTCTCAGCTCCTTGTGTCTAGATTTTGATTTGAACTCTTTTTGATTCACTTTTTTCTTTTCAACAGTCCTGGGGCAAGTGTCTCCAAAATTCCTGTTACCTCACCTGTATGTGGTGGCCATTCTTTTCTTCTTTCCCCAAGAAAAACATTTTATTAATCTACCCTCAAAACTCTGGAGCCCAACATCAGCCTCGAACTAGCTACCTAGCACTTAGGTATAGCTAGGGGGGCTGCCAGCTTATTTTGTGGGTGCTTTAAGCCCTGCTGTCCCTCAAGCTCACTAGCAGCTTCTTGGGGTCTCAGTATCTGCTGCCCCCAGGCCTGGCTCCCCACTGCAGCTCTAGAAAGGCCTCACCTTTTGTTTGCCTACACTAAAAAAACTTCAATTCTTAAACACATACACATTCATTCTGAATTCATAGGACAGCCAAGAGGGGCCTAGATGGCCATTCTTTTCAAATGCCACTGCCAAAACTGGAGGACACTTCACTCATCTCTGATCTCTCAAAACATGGTTAAAACTTCTATAAATCCCCATAAAACCTCTTCTCTACCTTTCGCCTCCAACAAATCCTCTGGCTCTGCTTGTCCTAAGTCCTTGTCCCTCCTTACTGAATTTTGGGAGTGAATTTTAAGGAGCCCTTGCACCTCTACCAATTTCTGATCGGAAAGTCTCTCCTTTTCCCTTCCTCCTTTCTCCCCACATTCCAATTGGTCTCCAGGAAAGAGAGGATGCCCTGCATTTAGGTCGTTACCGTTCCCTGGATTAGTACTGAAGAAAGTAAAAAAAAAATTCAACTCTTGAATTGTGTCGAGTAGATGCTGTGTACCAACCTGCAGGGGTCTGCTTGGGGCAGTTTGTCTCGAATGCCGTGAGTGAATCTAGCCTGTGGGCACCAGCGAAGACTACATGGGACTGGTAGTCTTCGAGGTCTGTGAAGCTTGGAGGCTGGTTAGTTGCACACCCCCCACCCACCCCGAAGCTGGTGGCTTGCAATCTGTGGGGAAGTAGGGAGAACCTTGGAGGAGTAGAGATTTGTCTAGGAGGAACCTGCAGGTCTGGGTTTTTGCTGGCCTATTGAAGCAGACGTTAACTGTTGGACCTTGGCTCCAGGTGGTGGGTTGGAATCGACCGTTTTGTTGGTATGTGGGGGACGGGAGCAGGTATTGGAGGTAGTTGTTATTGCAGCAGGGTTGGGTATCTGCATTCCAAGGGAGGTTTGTAGTCGACCCTAATTGGAGTCGTGGTGATGGGGGTCTTGTAATAGGCCCTGCGGGTGTGTTGTGTTCCAGGTTGTGGCTTGGAATGGGGAGCTAGAGTTTGGGGCTCGCTATGCATATGCGTAGCAGGGGAGGGGCAGTGTGGCGTCTTTTGGTGAATATAGTTGAGGGGGTGGGTGGCGGAACGATGGCTACGAAGGCTACGCTGTGTACCCGAAGAACGTTATAAGGGGTAGGGACTGTGGGCGTGCGTGAAGGGCCTGGGCTCGGCGGGGGGGGGACGTGTTGGCGCGCGCGCCTGTACTCGTGGTGCGGGAGGGAGGGCTGTGAGCTGGCGGTTGGCGCACGCGGTGCTTGTCCTCGGTCTTGGGGGGTGGGGGTGAGCTGGCGGTTGGCGCGCGCCGGCCCCGAGGGGACAAGGAAAACATCCGCCGGAGGCCGGCCCGGGCCGGGCGGTGCTCCAGGAATCCAGGGCAGGTGCGCGGCTGCTGAGGAAGTGAGCACATTCCGGCGCCCCCCGGCCTGCAGGCAGGTCGGCCGTCCTTCTGTGTGAGTCACCCCTGGACCCCCGGCCTGCTGCACGGCGGGTCAGCCGGATAGGCGGGGAGCCCAGCGGAGGGAGCGGGGAGGGAGGCTCCAGGGAGGTTGGGGACCCACCAGTGCAGTTCAAATTCACTTGTGTGCTCCACACATAACCGTTTTAGAAATTAGTTAGATGTTTTTCAAATGCATTCTTTATGCTCAGGGCTGTGGACACCGAGAGGACCCCAAAGGGGGTGCCAGAGAGGCGGCTTTATATTTGCGCGGTACTTGCTAGTCTGCAGAGCTTTGTTTGAAACCTCTTGAGATCTACACTTTGGCTGGGCGGGATGGGGTAAGCAGGTGCTATTACTCCATAATAGAGGTGAGTAAGCCGAGGCACGCGGCTGAGCTAGTGTGAATGGCCTGAGGGCTGAACCCGCTGTCCTAGTTTCTAACTTGTACCCTTTTAATTTTTTAAAACTCTATTGACTACTACCTCTCCTCCCCACCCCCCTTCCATCACTGCCCTCAAGGAGCTTATGATCTCACTGGGGTTGACAGTCAACTAGCATTTATTAAATACCTACCACAAGATAATAAATAGTTAGTCCCTGACCTGTGTATACCCCAGTCTGTGAATGTGCCTTACATGCTTGTGAATGACCACTTGGGAATGACTGGCCAAGGAGCCGTAGTAATGCCCAGCCCTCTCAGCTGCCTCTACTTGAGCATCTCCCTCTGGTCTCTCTTCATCTTGTGTTTCATTTCAAATCCAAGGTTCAGTGTAGGGTCGTGGGTAGCAAGCTCTGGTTATTTAGGTTTTTTTTGGGGGGGGAGGCAAAGATTTCTCCTCCCCAGTTTTCCTTTTTGCAAACACTAAAGCAAAAAGCTATTAAAATACCTCAGGAAGGTGGTATGCTTGCTTGGGAATAGGTAATGGAAAAGCTGTGTGGTACATTCTAGGGGACTTTTTTTTTTCAGGAGATCTTTGAGAGCTTCTTGAGAGCAGGGATTGCTTTTTGCTGATTTTTATCTCTAGCTTAGGCAATAGGTGGCTCAGTGATATTGGCCTAGAGTCAGAAAGACCTGAGTTCAAATCCGGTTTCAGGCACTTATTAACCGTGTGACTCTGGGTAAGTCACTTAACCTCTTTGCCTTAATCCACTGGGGAAGGAAATGGCAAACTGCTTCAGTATCCTTGCCAAGAAAAGTCCCATGGATAGTATTGGCACTATGGTCCACAGGGTTGAAGAGTTATGGACAGGACTGAACAACATCCCTAGCACAGTGCTTGACACTTAACAGGCGATTAATAAATGCTTATTGACTAAGCTGAGAAATTCTGGTTGGAAGCAGGCCAGATGTTTTCTCTTTGGGGCTCTTAGAAAAGAAGAAAAGGTTGTAACAATCCCTGGCTCAGACCAAAAAGTATTTCTGAGGATTTACACCAGCTCTAGGCCACATTCCTCAGAAATCTTGCCTGACTCTTCTTCTGGAAATCCTGTCCTAGACTGTGGGAGGTATCACTGAAGGTGTGAAGCTGGGGAGAGAAGGCAGTACCAATGAAAAGGGAAGAGGAAATGTGTTTTTAGCATCCCATGGTGAAGCTCTCTGGAGATAGATAGCATTTTTCGTCATGACTCCTTTGGAATTGTCTTGGATCATTGCATCTCTGAGGATAGCTAAGTCAATCATAGTTGATCATTCATTATTGCTGTTACTGTATACACTGTTCTGGTTCTGCTTACTTCACTTTGCAAATCAGTTCATGTAAGTCCTTCCAGGTTTTTCTGAAATCATTCTGTTTGTCATTTCTCATAGCACAGCAGTATTCCATTACAATCATATACCACAACTAGTTCAGCCATTCCCCAAGTGATGGACATTCCCTCAGTTTTCAATACTACCACAAAGAGCTGCTATAGATATTTTTGCACAAATAGGTCCTTTTCCCTTTTTAATAATCTCTTTGGGATATAGACCTAGTAGTGGTATTGCTGGATCAAAGGGTATGTATGTACTTTTATAGTCCTTTGGGCATAGTTCCAAGTTGTTCTCTGGAATGGTTGGATCAATTCATGACACCAACAGTACATTAGTGTCCCAATTTCCCCACATCCCCTCCAACATTTGTCATTTTCCTTTTCTGTCATATTTTCTGATGAGTGTGAGGTGAAACCTCAGAGTTGTTTTAATGTGCAGTTCTCTAATAGTGATTGAGATAATTTTTATATGACTATAGCTAGCATTTCTTTCTTTCTCTGAAAACCTCTTCATATCCTTTGATTATTAGTCATTTAGGGAATAATTTGTGTTCTTATAAATTTGACTCAGTTCTCTCTATATTTGAGAAATGAGGCCTTCTTTATCAGAGACACTTGTAAAAATTTCCCTCACCTTTCTGCTTTCCTTCTAATCTTGGTTGCATTGGTTTTGTTTGTGCAAAACCTTTTAAATTTAATATAATCAAAATTATCCATTTTAGATCCCATTTTAGATCTCTGCCTCGTTTGGTTATACATTCTTCCTTTCTGCATAGATTTGACAGGTAAACTATTCCATGCTCTTCTAATTTATTATGGTATGACCATTTATGTATAAAACATGTACACATTTTGACTTTATCTTGGTATATGATGTCAGATGTTGGTCTATACCTAGTTTCTATCATACTGTTTTCCAGTTTTTGCAGTGGTTTTTGTCAAATAGTGAATTCTTGTCCCAAAAACTTGGGTCTATGGGTTCATCAAACACTAGGTTGCTATGGTCCTTTGCTACTGTGTCTTGTGTACCTGATCTATCCCACTGATCCACTACTCTATTTCTTAGCCACTACCAGATTGTTTTGATGATTGCTGCTTTATAATACAGTTTGAGATCTGGTACAGCTAAGCCACCTTCCTTTACATTTTTTTTTGTTGATTCCTTGATATTCTTGACCTTTTGTTTTTCAGATAAATTTTGTTATTATTTTTGTAGCTCTGTAAAATAACTTTTTGGTAGTTTGGTATGGCGCTGAATAAATAAATTAATTTAGATAGAATTGTCATTTTTATTATATTGGCTTGGCCTATCCATGAGCAATTGATATTTTACCAGTTGTTTAGATCTGACTTTATCTGTGTGAAAAGTGTTTTATAATTGTGTTCCTATAGTTCTTGGGTTTGTCTGGGCAGATAGACTCCCAAGTATTTTATCTTGTTTACAGTATTTTAAATAGAATTTCTCTTTCTTTCTTGTGCCATAAACAGCTATTTTTAATTCACTCATTTGGTATAACCCATTTGTCAGTTTGGGACTGCCTGTATCTATATGAGATAATAGATATGATAGGAAATGTTTTATGATTTCAAAGACTCTCATAGATATAAAGATGGGCTGGAGTATATGATTATGGCAACATAGGTGATATGGGAATTGAGTTGGGCCTTGATTGAATTTAGATACTGTTGGGGTTGGACATTTCAGGTGGAAGGAGCGACTCTCATCAACGTGTACGGTGGCATGCTTATACAGGGGCTATTGTGGTGACTGACTTATTTGGAAGGGGTTATATATTGAGGAATAGTAATTGTTAAACTTGGGTTGGGGGCAGCTAGGTGGCACAGTGGATAGAGACCTGGAATCAGGAAGACCTGAGTTCAAATTTGGCCTCAGGCATTTACTAGCTGTGTGACTCTGGATAAGTCACTTAACCCTGTTTGCCTCAGTTTCCTCATCAGTAAAATGAGCTGGAGAAGGAAATGGCAAATCGTTCCTGTATCTTTGCCAAGCAAACCCTAAATGAGGTGATGAAGAGTCAGACACCACTTAAACGACTAAACAAGTTTGGGTTAACAGAAGTAGTGTTGAGTTAAGGAAAGCTTTCATTAAGATAAGAAATTCTGACATGATCTCTTTTACAGTGAGTATCTACTATAGGTCTTTGAGCAAACCAGTATCATGATGATACATAGTTATTGTTTAGAGATAAGTTAGCGCTCGTCAACTATTGTTTTCAATGACTTTTTTCATTTTTGTTTTTGTATCCCTAGTGCTTGATACATAGTAGATATTCAGTAAGTGTTGTTGAGTTATCCCTTTTGAGTGAGTTGGTTAGGCATACATCTGTATTCCAATGAATCTGTTAGTTTAGTAATTTTGATTTAATTCAATTTGCATATTGTATGTTGTTAACTAGTGTCTGACTCTTGGGGCACATTTGGGGTTTTCTTGGCAGAGATATGGGGTGGTTTGCCATTTCGTTCTCCAATTCATTTTACAGATAAGCAAACTGAGGCAAGCAGGATGAAATAACTTGCCCAGGGTCATACAGCTGGTAAGTGTCTGAGGCCAGATTTGAATTCATGAAGACTGAGTTTTCCTGATTCCAGGCCTGGTACTCTATCCACTGTGCCACCTAATTGCCCATATTTTGTACATTTAGCAAATTATAAAAATGACTTCGTTAAATATTAAAAGTAAAGTGTACTCTGTTTTAAGAATTAATTGAAAAAAATGCTTTCCAGCTAATTGGACCAACAAACATAGGGACTAACTGGAAAGCAGTGCTTTCCTTTAAAAAAATTGTCTTTGATTTAATATTATTTTCTCTTATTGATTTTGCTCTTGTCTATGTTCTCAGTATCTCATTTTAAATTATCTGAATAGGACCTTAGCACTTTTTATTTTCTTATCCTCTGGTATGCTTCCCTTAATTTATTTCGTGATAGGTTATCATAGGATTTAGAACTAGAAGGGATTCCTATAGTTTCCTTCTACTAGACTCTTATCATCATTACTTTTAACTTAACTTGTATCAGTAGATTCCCCTGAGCCAAAAGAGTTTTCACAGTTGTTGTTTTTTTTTTTCCTGCTCCATATGGAAACATGGCAGAAGTTTCTTGGAAGCAATTCAGAGTATTGCCACTAATTATAAAATAATTCCATTTTAAATTTCTTTTAAAGCTTTTGGAAGATATCCAGGGCTTCCATGTATTGTGCAATGACAATGACTTCTTAGCAATTTTGAGACCTTTTTTTCCCCCAGATAAAACATTTTATTTAAAAAATCTCAAAATTCAATGAAAAATTCATTCAAAACAATAGCTGAAGCATCAAAATATAGAATAAATCTACAAGAGTAATTAAATTTTCTATATATTACTTATGAGGATCAATAGGCAAAATAGAAATTTTATTCAAAAATATGAAATGCATAAATATATATGGGACTTAATATACCAATAGACACTCCAGATTTACATAGAGTAAGACTTACAGTGATTCATTGTTCTTGGTTGGGCTATGCCATCTATAATAAAAATGCTAATACTACCTAAATTAATTTGTGAATTTATTGCCATCCTAATTAAACTACTAAGGAAATTGATTACTTTGCAGAACCAGACAAAATAAGCATGGACGTTTGTTATGGGGAACAAAATGCCTAGAGTTTTAAGGAAAATGATGGTGGTAATAAAATGAAGAATTGCCACTCTAAGAGTGTTGTATAGCAGACAGAAGGACTAGCTTTGGAGTTAGGATGCCTTGAATTCAAGTCCTTCCTACTATGTAACATGGGCAAGTCATTCCCCCTCTCAGTGTCCTTGGTAACGTATAAGACTGTAAATTGTAGAACAATAATTGCTGATCTTCATGGGTCAAGGACATTTCTTTGCTGAGAGCTACTTATACTGTTGAAATCACAGGTCCATGGGTCCAGACCCATTCCCTCGAAAAGAAAAATTTGATTTTGTATAACTTGAATAATCTTGAATAATGTTATTCTCTCTTAACACTGACACATGTGACTATTAGATCTCTGCTTCAAAAAAATCAGCAAAATCTGTTTTAGACAAGAAGTACCATGATGGCTAATTCCTATGATAATTCTAAAATGCTTATTTTACACTTAGATTTTGTTCCATTTGGATGTTAATAATATATTTTAAAGCTCGGGTTGTAATTATTGCGTTTTGCTCACTAAATCTTACAACAGCCTTTGGCAAAAAACAAGAGTATTCTGACCAGTTTACATTTAATTCTAGTACTCTTTTTTATTCTGGACCTGTTGTTTTTCTGTCTTGCCATTTCAGTCAGCCTAAGCCTATATTAGTAACTGTGTCTCATTCCCTTTATCCTTTGCCTTCATTCCTGTTCTGCTCTGTTGGGCACCTTTAGAGGAAAACTTCACACTGACTTCCTCTACTATAAATTCTTTCTTTCCTCAGTTCTACTCTGTTTCTTGCCAACAAGCACCACTCCTCCTTTGTTGATTCTCTAGCCCACAACTGTTTCTGGCTCATCTTTACCTTTTAACTCTTTTAAACTCTTCTTCATCCTACTTCTTAGTTCACAAGCATATTAAAAATTTAATGTTCTTTTATATTAGGCTTTTCTATTTCCATAACCTACTTTAATCAGCCCCACATCTGCTATATGACATCCATTCCTCATCCTTCACTATTTGAAACAACTTTATGTGCAGTTTTATAAACCCTTGAATTATATCTCCCCATAAGTTCAAGTTCTTAATCTTTTCCACTTTCTTTCCTTTGTGAGGTAGTGTTTTTATACTGCAAAGATGACTGACCTTGAAGCTAGAAAACCTGAATTGTACTTGTAGTTCTACCATTAATGAACTTCCTAACCTCAGGCAAGTCACTTCTCCTCACTTGGATGACAGTTTCTTATCTGTAAATTAATGGGTTGAACTAAAATGAAATGTCTGTAAGATTTTTCCAGCTCCAGAATTCTGAGTTAGATTCTGTGGATTAATTTTTCTTACTTCTGGTACATATCTCTCTTTAAGGACGCTAAAGTCTTCTAACATGTTTTTTTCTTTTTTTTTTTCTTACTGCTCATTCGCTTTTTAACCCCTTGCAATCTTGTTTCCACTCCATTTCTCATCCAAAAATGCTTTTCTGAAAGTGACTATCTAGTTGCCAAAATTGAGGGACCTTTTTTCACAATCCTCTACAATCTCTTCATAGTTTTTAACACTGTCAACCATCCCCTACTTGAAACTTCTTGCTTTTCACTCTGCTGTAGTTGTGAGGCTATGTTTATGATTACTCTTCATCTGCCTCTTTTCCTTTTTCCCTCTATTAAACATAGGCATTTCCCAAGATTTTGTCCCTATCCCTCTTTTTATTTCCATATGCTTTTCTTGGCAGTCTGATCCTCTTCCATGGCATTAACTATCTTCTCTTTCCTATTGACTCTGTATCTTTGGTTCCATACTTTTTTTTTCTTAGTTTGGTTCTATGACTTCATTGGTATAGGGGACTTCTAGCTAGGAAATTCCCTTTACTAAAACTGTTTTGGAGCCTATAGTCTTAGAGAGTTAGCCCTGTCCAGGATCATAGAGCCAGAATGTATTAGAGAGAGTACTTGAACCCTGGTCTTCCTGACTCTGAAGCCAACATTCTGTGTTATATTCTATCATGCGCTCTTGCCCCACATTTTTAGCTGCCTGTTGGACATCACTACCTGGATAATTTGCCAACATTGCAAATTCAACAAACCAGCTCTTCATCCCGAATTCTTTATTTCTAGTAGTGGTATGTCCATTTTGCCATGTACCAAGGTTGTCATGTCTCATCAGGCAGCAAATCCTTTTTATTCTCTCCCCCTCCTCTCTCAAATCAATGGTATTCAAACCTTTGTATTTCTTCCACCTCCACACCTCTTTCCTTTGACTGGACTATTGAAATAGTTGCTGCACAATTCTCCACTTCTAATCTCCTTTCCAGTCTACCTTGTGTACTGCTTCCACTGAAGCATAGTGCTGATAATGCTATTCCCTTGGTTAAAAACCTTCATTGCTTCCCATTGTGTACAGAATAAAGTCAAAATTCTTTAACAGGTCATTCAAGGCCCTCCATTTGAAGTTCCCAAATCTACCTTTTGGTCTTGGTTTCTGTTTTTCCCTTCACTGACTCTTTATTGTTACCAATCTAGATCACTAGCCATTCCCCAAATATGACCCCTGTGCCCCCCACTGCCTTCCTGCCTCTGCTTTTGTTTTATCTTTTCCTGTATTTAGAATAATTCCCTTTCCCTGCTTCCTGTATTAGGTTTGTCTTTGTTTCCATGTGGCAATGTACGTCCTTATCTACCTCCTTCTACAATCAAGAATCTAGCCATACTTCAAGGGTCAGTTCAGTGTCTAGTTCCAGGCTCAGTTAAACCCCTTCTCCAGTTACACTAGTTCAGCCATCTCCATGAAGATTTCTTAGATTCCTCCAGCCCGAAGTAATGTCTCTAACTTTGGTACTAAGCTTGCCTTTTATGTTTCTTTCGTGGCATTCATTTCTGTATATATTGTAGAAAGGGATTTGTATGCATGTCATCTTTTTAGCTACACAAACTGAACTTTGAGGAGCAAGGACTATAGCTTATCAATTTTTGTCTTCCCCCCCACTCCCAGGCATAATGCCTTGGGCATAGTAGGCACTCAAATTTTTGAGTTGGAAGCTTTTTTTCAAATTAACATCTTCCTCAATCTCTTCTCTTAATATCTAATATCCTTAGATTGTAAGCTCCTTGAGGGCAGGAACTGACTGTCTTTTTGCCTCTTTTTGTATCCCTAGTACTTAGCACAGTGTCTGGCACATAATAGGTGCTTAATAAATGTTTGTTGATTGCTTGATATCCAAGATCTTTAACCATAGCATACTTATGAGAGGCAGCATGACTTAATGGATAATGTTACTAGACTCTGAGTCAGAAAGACCTGGATTCTTATCTTACCTCTGATACTTAACTAGTTGTGTGACCATGGGCAACCTGGTCTGATTATCAGTTTCATCTGTAAAATGAGGATGATAACACTTGTATCTGCTTCACAAGGTTGATGTGAAATAATATATGTAAAACACTTTGCAGATTTCAAAGTGCTATGTATGTGTCAGTTATTACCATTATAATTATTTAAAGATTTATTGATTAAACACTTGTCAGGTCCTATATAGAGAATTTATAGACCTATTCTCTGAACTTTTGGTGTGTACAAAGACATTGATATAAATGTACGAATGTATATATGGTTAAGAGAAATATTAAATTACAACATGAATATGTACATACAGTGTATATGGCATTCTATATATGGATAACACTATATGTGCATAATGTAGTATATATACATGAGTATACAAGTGCATATTGGAGTTTAAACACAAGGCTAAATCCATTCCTGGAATAAAGATCTGAGAGCAGCCATGAAAATTCCATATCTACTTTGAGATTTTTTTTTGGTTGCTTTTTCTGGCTGGGCAATGGGTTAAGTGACTTGCCCAGGGTCACACAGCTTGACACAGTAAGTGTCAAGTGTCTGAGGCCAGATCTGAACTCAGGTCCTCCTGATTCTAGGGCCAGTGCTCTATCCACTGCACCATGTAGGTGTCCCCTCCCCATCTACCTAGAACAGGGGTGAGGGGAAACAGCTCTTTAGAACAATCTGAGAGAATTTAATGAAGGAGGTAAAGTTTTAGGAATTGGGAGAGGTGATTTGGTGGGGAGGGAAATGATGCATTGGTAGGGGGTTAGCCAAAACAAATTCTAAGGTCTCTGCCAGCTCTGAAATTCTATGATAAGTGGGAGGAGGTTCCAAGAATATAAGACTTGCTATACTGTGTTAGACTTGGGACATGTATGGACAGGCCTGTTTTTTTCTCCTTGGTGTCATCTTAAGAGATCAGGAAGATTTCTCCAAACATCCTAATTTGCCTTGTTCAACCTTTGCCAACTTTCTAGTCTTGTCTTCGACACTATTGAAGCTGCCTTTATCAAATTCTCTTCTGACGACTTCTTGACTGCTCTCTAAAATCCTTTGCTAATTTTTCATGATTCCTTAGCACCCGACATTCAGTAAGCTCTAAAAAAAAATCACCGTCTTTGAGTCTCTGGATTTTTCTAGGGTTGGATGAGTCTGGAATTTTTTTTAAACCTCTGTACTTTAACATAGGACTTTGTGTGCATATCATTGTTGGGCGCAGAATGCTTTCCTGCAAAGGAATTTGGGCTTTCTGTTTAAAGTGAGATGTTTATCACCCTCACTCTTTTCTTCTAATGGTTTAGCTCCTACTTAGCATTATCTTTTTCTGTTTCTAGATGTCTTCCTTCTCTATCTTCTTCCACAGCCAAAGCCCACACTGTCTCCCTGAGATGTAGCTTGAGTCTTTAGGAGCTGCTCCCCATATCTGTGCCCTAGGCTTGACCCTGCAATGCCGTAGTTGCTACATTACCCACATTTTTCCTTACAAGTCTTCCCCCTGCTTCAGTTTTGCTTCCGCTCTTGGCACTACCATGCCAACACAAATAGGGAGGCCACAGGTTACCAGGACAACCAGAGCACAGGAAACCGTAAAGGTTCAGGGCTTCCACAGGCATCACAGACTGTGGCTCAACTGCCTTGATTTCTCCCCAGGGAGTCAGCCACACCTCTCATCTACCTACCTCCTTCCCCTAAACCACCCAGTAGCCCTTGCCTGAGGCAGAAGTATATGTTCAGGACTGGTGCATACCCAGGCCTAAGTGAAGAGCTGAGTCTTCTTTATCTTCTGCAGATCTGATTTCCCTGCCCTGGAAATATGGAGTGGTTTGAGGTGAGAAGGAAGACACTAGGTATTCTCCAGAGTTCATAATGAGCAGAGATCTGCTTCTAACTTTTTCATTTGTCTCCTTGATGATAGATATGGAATAGAAGGATTAAGAATTCTGGGAGTGGGTTAGCTCCCTTAGTATTTGTCTTCAGTTTTTGAGTCATGACAGCCCCATTTATATATACTTCATTGGCTTGGATCAGTATTTCTCTATCATTGAATTTTCAGGATCGTAGGATTGTAGATTTAGAGTAGAAAAGGGACCTTTGGGACCATCTGGTCTAACCCCTTCATTTTATAGATATGGAACTGAGTTACAAGGTCACGTAAGTTGAAGGAGCAGAATTAGTTTTCAAACCCAGATCCTCTACAAATCTATTGCTCTTTCTACTTGAAGCCTCATTTATAGTTAAACTGGCCTTGAATATATGGCACAGACTCTCTTGGGCCCATAACCCATCCATTCTCATAATTTCAACTATTCTGTATTGCTGATTCCTAGATTACATTTGAATATAACTCTTCTCACCCTCTACTCAAGTATTTAATATTTTCTCAATGCTTAAAAGTTACTTCTTAGAATCATAGAGTCCTACCCATGATGAAGCATGCTACTCACTGTCAGTCAGAGCACTGATGGACTCAGGATGCAGACTGAGACATATATTTTTTGGACATGGCCAGTACAGGAAGGAGTCTGTTTTGCTTTACTAGGTATACTTATTACAAGAGTTCTGTTTTTGTTTCTCTTTTCTGGTGGGGAAGGGAGGTGGGAAGAAAAAAAAAATGGATTTTTGTTAATTGAAAAGAAAGAATTAAATTTAAAAAATTGTAGAATCCTAGACTAGGAAGGGACCTTGTAGGTTATTTAGTCCAACCTCCTACTGAATATAAGAATCCTTGCTACGTCTCTGAGAAATGGTCATCTAACCTCTGCTTTAAAATCTCCAGTAAGGGAGATTGTTATATTTGGACAATTTACTTCTCTTGTTTATGATGTAAGCTGTATGTAATATTGAGTTCCTTTTGGGACAGAGGGCCTATTCCACTGGTTTGTTGAGCTGATTGAAATATAATCTTGTACGTATTATAGGAAGCTTGAATGGTCATTTTAAAACATAGGACTACCCCCTCCCCAAATTACACTTGAATGTTGGATCACTTGGGGTCAAATACTCTTCCTCCAGGTCTAATATATTTGATAGTTCTATACCCCTAAAACTATAGCTCTCAAGTTCCCACCAGTATACTTACCTTTAGTAAATTAGCCAGGAAACACTGTTAGCTCAAGGCAATTAAATGAGATGGTATGGTAAAAACAACAGTCGTTTAAAATCTCCTTAAATCTGGGGTGCACACAATCTCAGTGGGAAGCATGGGCATACCCTAGAGCACACTAGTAGACAGACACACATTTAAGGAACGTGTTTGGCCCAGGCAACTCACCTCCAATGATATGGGGCCCCATTCTTCTTTCCCTTGTGGTGTCCTCATGCTGTCTCCCTCAGGGTGTAGTTTCTCCATTGGGCAGGTCATGTAGCTAGATTCCTTAGGCCTGCTCTCTGCTGCTCACCTTCTAGTGGCCAGGGCTGTCTGTCTTCTGGACTCACAGGACTTATATTCCTCAGAACTGTCCTCTATCTCAATTAGTGAGCCTACTTGCTTGCTGGCCATTATGTCTCCTGCTGGGTGAGTAGCTCCACTGCAGGTTGCCATGGCCAATGGGAGGAGAGGAAAAGTAATTCTCTCCCTTCCCCAAGTGAGAGGGCAAGTTAGGTGACGCAATGGATAGAGTGCCTAGCCTGAAGTCAGGAAGACCTGAGTTCAAATCTGGCCTTAGACACTTACTAGCATTGTGACTCTGGGTAAGTCACTTAACTCTTTTTGCCTTAGTTTCCTCATCTGTAAAATGAACTGGAGAAGAAAATGGCAAACCCCAAATGGTGTCATGAAGACTTGGATGGAACTGAAACTATTGAACAATGACAACAAAAATCCCCAAGTGCAGGAACAATTCCTCCTCCAGGACTGGCCTCATCTGTAGTTGACTTTCTTCTTAGTTGCCACATTTCTCAGAGTTTACTCCTTCTTTGACTCTCAGCTGGCTCTCTTAGAGTATATCCCATTTTTGAGGGGACACCTCAAGTGTGGACAATCCTTTGTCAACCAGTGGCTAGCTGCCTTCTAATCCAATCAATCTTGATTGGGTAACTTTTTCAAACATTATAAAGGGGTAACACTATAAACCCTTTCTAATTTATTTGCTTTTTTTTTTTTTTGGCTATGCAATTGGGGTTGAGTGATTTGCCCAGGGTCACACAGCTAGTAAGTGTCAAGTGGCTGAGGCCAAATTTGAACTCGGGTCCTCCTGACTCCAAGGCTGGAGCTTTATCCACTGAGCTACCTAGCTGCCCCTTCTAATTTATTTAAGACCTTAAAACCTCTTTGTCCCTGTTCAAGGTCACTGTCACATGCTTTTTACTTTCTGTGATTACATCATTTGGGCTAGGGTTGGATTGGGGGGGGGGGAGGTCAGGAGAGATGGAATCAGTTGATCAGGGGTGTCCTTACTTCCCACCCTGAACAATAACAGTTTGCTAGCAACTGCTATAAATACAAAAGCCCTTAAATGCCCTCCTCACTTTCATTTTCACTGCATCACAACTTTGACCTGCAGCAGATGAAACAGGAAGAGAAGAAACTGGAAAGAAGGTGATTCTGGTCTTGTCTGAATTGGACAGATTGCAACATAGAGATGTTAAATTTTTATGCTGTGGCATAGTCATCATCATCATCAAATATTTACTGAGAGCCCACTGTATACATGGTAAAAGCCAAGAAAATGTTCTTTGCTTCCACCACTGATTCCACAAAGCCTCATCCGACGGAACCATTTTAGATTGTTGGCAGCCTATTTCATCCTGGCTGTCTGATGAATGGGGAAACATTTTCAGTCAAGTGTTGTGCTTAAAAAAAAACCTAAGAGAAATTTGAAGGTGACAGACCTATAATGGTCTGTGAATGTAATCGGTACTAGAGTTCTAACATTTTGAGGCCAGTGTCAGGGAGAATATTATCATCAGAGAACAGTGAATAATAGGAAAAGCAGAGTTACTTAGATGCTCTTTCCTCTACCAAGGAGAATGATCTTGTGAATGAGAAGGATTGTATGAAAAGAGTTAATAGGGAGTTGAAATCTAAGATTAAGAGGCAGCTAGGTGGCACAATGGATAGAGCATGGGCCCTGAAGTCAGGAGGACCTGAGTTCAAATCTGGCCTCAGACCAAACACTTGACCCTTACTAGCTGTGTGACCCTGGGCAAGTTACCTAACCCTAACTGCCTAAAAACAAAACAAAATAAAACAAACAAACAAAAAAGAAGTCTAAGATTAAGATGAAGAGATAATAAGAGTATTTAGGTGCCCCCAATGAGAACAAGTCATCCAGAAAAAATCATCCAGGCCTGGATGAATCCTATCTCATCTATCTCATATTCTAAAATCCACAGAAAGTGGTGTTAGGAAACCCTTTTCTACCAAAGACCATTGACCCTTCAAATAAATTAGTCCTGTGCTAATGAAAAATAACTTTTGTTTATGGTAGCTGGCTTTAAAAGAGTTTTCTCTCCACCTCTGGAAAAAATACCTATAGCTGCTAAATAATGAATGAGAGATTAAGAATTAGAAGCAAAACATTTCTCAACATAGATAAAATCATAAAAATACAATGGAATTACATAATACTTTCAATTTAGAAAAGAAAAAAAGGAAGATGCAAAAAGGAAAGGGTATAAAAGAACTACATACTTGGGTCAAACTTGTCCACATCACCCAATAGTCTCTCTCTGAAAGGATCACCAAAGGTTGGTATTCTTCTTCCTAACACTGACCTTTAAAAGTTTGATGTATAACACAGATTAGTTTATGAAGCTATTATGGTTATGTCACCTATAGATTTCTCTAAAATGTTTTCAAAGCTGTTTTAGTGTTAGGAGTATTAAAACTCAAATGAATAGAGGCTATAAATTAATATGTTAAGGACAACAAAAAAGGGTTTTTTTTAGCAGTATTGGGGACAAGAGGAGGATCAAAGAAGGGACATGATCGGGGTATTTGTGACAATAATAATGAATAATGAATCAAGCATTTATTAGGCACCAACCAGGTGTAAGGAATTGTTTTAGGTAGGAAGAACTACTCAACTACTATTTTGCTTCTGTTTTCTCTCCCAAGGAGATAATGGCCATTGGAATAAGAAATACAGAATAAAAATTGTTGTCAGGGGATTACAACCCAAGATAAATGTGAACATACTAAGAGAGCCCCTAACTGCTCTCAGTTCAAGTCACTAGGCTCTGGTGAACAGAAATAACTGGTGGGTGTAATTGTTGTTGTTAGTAATCTTTAAAAGGTTATGAAAAATGGGAGCAGTGCAAGTGGAGAAGGGCAAATGGGATCTGTAAACTACAGATTGGTGTGCTTGATCTTAATTCCTGGTAAAATTATAGAAAATAATATTAAAGGGAAAATTAATGAGTATTTGGAGAGGGAGAATATGATCATTAAGAGCCAGCATGGTTCTTACTGAACAGGCCATGCCAGACTAACTTCGTGTTCTTTCCTGATAGGGTTACTAGATTGTAGACCAGGGGAATGCTGTAGACATAATAGGGTAGTTAGATTTCAGATTTCATGTGCCATCCTTATTGACAAGATGCAGAGATGTAGGCTAGATATTAGAATGATTAGGTAGTGATTGTACTAGTTAAGTGGTTAGATTGAAAAAATAGTCATTCACAGGCCAATTTCAACCTAGAGGTTTCCAGTGGAATACACCAGGGATTTGCCTTTGGCTTCGTGCTGTTTAACATTCTTATTCATCACTTAAATGAGGCCACAGATGTCATGCTTATTGAATTTGCAGATTTCATGAAGCTGGGAAGGATAGCCAAAACTGATCAAAATCAAGATCCAGAAATATCTCAGCAGGCTAGAACAATGGG